TTGCTTTATTGTATAAACTAAAAAAAGGTCGGAGTGGAACTAACCCCGAAAAATTCAGTCTCTCTCCGTAATCGATCTCTTCTATATACTTGTTAATGAAATAATCGTAGATCAGCGGAATATAACGACTGAATTATTCGGGTAAGTGAAACAAGTAAATAAAAGTCAAAATTAACCATATGTAGTTCCATAAGGAGGGATCTGGACAGCCTGCCCCTTAATCAGCCTCCGAGTTGAGTCATACGTATTGACCTTTCTTGGCGCACACACGGTTTTCATTGCCTATGTGTTTTTTTTGTACAAATAAATAATTTGATAATTAATATGCCTTCAATCCATTTTCTTGAGACATATTACACGTACATGAATCATGAATTTTCTACGTTTTTATAATTTTGAACACATAGTATGCCCTGAGATCTGACCTGAAATATACATGAAACATTGAAAATTCACGATAGTAAGATATATAGGAGCAACATTTAAATTCAAAGGGTTAGGGGTTTGTTCTGAGTCGGAAATAATTCGGAACACAACGTAATTCCCCACTGCCATGCACCAAACATTTTTTTCTTGAAATAAACGGTATGGGGAATTCTGGAATTCCGATTTTTTTTGTCAACTGCCAGCCCACAAAATTTTTTTCTCTCATCAAATTGGGGATCAGAATAGGCCTCCAGATTTCTTTTGGAAAATTTGGTGTTCACCCCAAGAACCGGGTTGGCCACAACATAACAATTTCAATTTTATTTACAATTTACACGGTGTGCATATGTTTAAGTATGTTTAAATGAAGATATTTGCATATAGTTTAGGACTTTATTCATTATAGGTTGAAAAATACAGGCAAAGTTCAGATGTTTATGAAGTGTTATATATTTTGACTTTTGTGAAACCTTAACAGAATAGACAATTGGGGCAAATCTGATGAAAAAAAAAAACGAAAATTCCTAGTAACAAAAAATTAACCCACATAACAGCAATTGAAATCTCCTCCCCAAGAAATTGTACCTCAGGACCTGTATAATGCTGGAAGTATTTTAATATGCCTTTGGAACACCCTTTTAAAAAATTGGGTATGGTTCTCCAGGCCACGGCTTAGGTAGCACTTCACAGTTAGAAAATAAGATTAAAATTGAGCCTCAGAATGTCTGATAATCTTCCAATCCTGGCCTTCAAATACATTAGGCCAACTGTACTAGCACCCCCTTTTTTCTGAGAAACCCTGGCTAGCACACCCTTCCTTTTTTCACAGTGTATGGATCCGCCCCTGACCGATACGTAGTACTCAACTATGATCAACTGTAGGTCATAATAAAGGACGAAATACATAACGTAAATTAATTCAAGCGTGAGGGGCCCCCATATATCACGGCTAAAATTGTACTTAGTTTGTCCTTTTATACAACCTTTTGGCAAGTACCACCATCCCAGAAATCAGTTACCACGATCTTTCAAAATTAACATGAACAGTAACCATCATCAACGTCCTTTTTTTTTTCACTCTCTCTCTTTTCTAAGTAATGTACAACTGTTTACGCTTGTCAGCAGTGTTTATCATTGTTTTCATTAGTTTACAAGTTGTGACCTTCGAAATTGTTTTATTCAATGTTCCTATAGATTTTTATGGTAACTCCCTGTGCCCCTAAAAAACAAACAAAATAAAGTTTCCCTCCCACAAAATTTTACACTTAAACGTTGATTTGAAAAAAAAACTTGATTTTATAATTTTGGTTATCAATTGAAATGAACCTTCTAGAGCCTCAACCTAACGCGCACAATAATGTCAATCATTACACATCAAATTTAACCCTAAATTGACATTCCACAATCGGTCAGTAACATCACCTGTGTTTATAGCTACATGATATTTCCCGCCGTTGGAAAATCTCGTGCAGTGACACAATTGATAAAATCTATTTTTAACATCTCTATTGTGAGCGAAATTTTTGACGTGCATTATTTCATTATTAAAAATGTTCGATCTACATTTGTTGCAGTCTAAAATTTAATTAAAAGAAACGTAATATCATTTCTTTTTCTTTGGCAATTATAGTAAATTAATCTCATCCCGGAATGTATATTCACTTTACCATTAGACCTAAAAGTGATTTCTAATAAATGAAGAAACTGTGTTTCACATTAAAAAATTTAAGAATATTATCGCTCAGGCATATTTATTTTATTTTAAGATGATTGATTGTTGGTTGCTTAACTTCCAGTGGCAAATATTCCATGCAAGTCCGGACAAACTTAGTTTTAAGATCGCACTTTCAAAAATCATTGTAAAACAAAAATGATCAGAAGAACTTTTATTCATGTGAAATAACCGTCCAATCTTTTAAAAAGAACTTATTTACATTTCAAAGTGTTACAGATTAGTTTACAAGACAGGCATTGACGTTAAATATACAATTCCTTGTATCATAGATATAATGGCTATTATATCTATGCTTGTATACATGTACGCAACTTTCATATCTTTTAAATTGAACTTTTTTGTCTAAAAAGACATCCCACGAGTTTGCGAAATCGAGTTTGAATGCACTGCATTGTGTGTAAAATACATATACATATTATGCAACGACGGTCTGACTCTATGTATTACCAGGGTTGCGTTCAATATCGTAGCGGCTACGTAGTGCTATGTAGATTTTTACTATTGAACGTGTAGCTATAGATAAGCTGCTACATAGATATTGATAGCAACTACATAGCCGCTACGTAGCTGCTACGATATTGAACTCAACCCAGTTGACCCCTGATACCAACTAAGGTTACTAAAGACTTTCCCCTGGCCGTTCATTTAATTTTTGTTTCAATAAACGGTTCTAGAAGCAATTAAATGATCTGCGGCCTCTGACATATAATTAAAAAAGTAACCATCTAATCCCCAGATATATATAATCTGTTTCTCTCTAAATTTACAGAAACATTATATGATATATTTTTGAAAATTCCTTATATCTCAAATGATTATAGTTACTTTGTTTTTAATTCTGTAAACATCTATATATCATAATTTGTACCACACTACAAGGATCTATTAATAACCGTCGCTCACGCATAACGGATTATACAACGACCTATTAATAACCGTCGCTCACGCATCAGTGATTCTATCAATGACTCAATACACAACAGTTTTATCGGACAAACGGCTAATTCCCGCCGACACGGAAAATCTCCGGATAACATGCAAAATATCCTGTAATACAGCAAATTTACGATGAACCTCTAATTTTTATCCGTTTCGCGGAGATTAGCCAAAAAACACCGGAGTTTTTACAAAAATCGCGGTGATTTTCCAAATAGGTCTGCCAGTGATTAGTCCCCCTAACTACCATCTATCAGAATTGTTAACAAAGTAGGCTTCTCTGCTTTTTGGCTTTGCCTAAAAACAGTACAATAAATCAAATACAAACAGCAGCAAGTACGCCAGATCTGGAGTCTTTAATATACACATCTTAGTGCTATAGCTATACGGCTGACAGCTTATCTGTCTCTCTTTAGGATAGTTAATGTGAATTATGTTTATGTTAGTGTGAGAGTGGTGGGATAGTTGATGTGTATTATTGTGTGTGCCTGTTAGGATAGTTGCTGTTGACAATAGTGTGAGTCTGTTAGGATAGTTGATCGACACGGCTGTTTAGATAGTTAATGTGAATAATGGTGTGGGCTTGTTAGAATAGTTGATGTGAACAATGGTGTGTGTGCCTGTTAGGATAGTTGATGTGAACAATGGTGTGAGCCTGTTAGGATAGTTGATGTGAACAATGGTGTGAGCCTGTTAGGATAGTTGATGTGAACAATGGTGCGAGCCTGTTAGGATAGTTGATGTGAACAATGGTGTGAGCCTGTTAGGAAAGTTGATGTGAACAATGTTGTGAGCTTGTTTGGATAGTTGATGTTAACAATGGTGTGAGCCTATTAGGATAGTTGATGTGAACAATGGTGTGAGTCTGTTAGGATAGTTGATGTGAACAATGGTGTGAGTCTGTTAGGATAGTTGATCGACATGGCTGTTAGGATAGTTAATGTGAATAATGATGTAAGGCTAAAAGGATAGTTGATGTGAGCAATGGTGTGAGCCTGTATGGACAGTTGATGTGAACAATGGTGTGAGTCTGTTAGGATAGTTGATGTGAACAATGGTGTGAGCCGGTTATGATAGTTGATGTGTATAATGATGTAAGGCTAATAGGATAGTTGAAGTGAGCAATGGTGGGAGTCTGTTTGGACAGTTGATGTGAACAATGGTGTGAAACTGTTTGGACAGTTGATGTGAACAATGGTGTGAGTCTGTTTGGATAGTTGATGTGAACAATGGTGTGAGCCTGTTTGGACATTTGATGTGAACAATGGTGTGAGCCTATTAGGATAGTTGATGTGAACAATGGTGTGAGTCTGTTAGGATAGTTGATCGACATGGCTGTTATGATAGTTAATGTGAATAATGATGTAAGGCTAATAGGATAGTTGATGTGAACAATGGTGTGAGTCTGTTTGGACAGTTGATGTGAATAATGGTGTGAGCCTGTTAGGATAGTTGATGTGAACAATGGTGTGAGTCTGTTTGGACAGTTGATGTGAACAATGGTGTGAGTCTGTTTGGATAGTTGATGTGAACAGTGGTGTGAGCCTGCTTGGAAAGTTGATGTGAACAATGTTGAGAGCCTGTTTGGATAGTTGATGTGAACAATGGTGTGAGACAGTTAGGATAGTTGATGTGAACAATGATGTAAGCCTTTTATGATAGTTGATGTGTATAATGATGTAAGGCTGTTAAGAGAGTTTATGTTAAAAGGTTTTGGGCCGTTAGGATAGCTACTAATTAAATGTGATGTCTGTTAGGATAGCTAGTACATGTAAGGTCTGTTTGGATACTTGGTACATTTTACGTCTGTTTGGATAGCTAGTATATGTGAGGGCTTTTAGGATGGCTAGTACAAGTAATGTCTGTTAGAATAGCTAGTATATGTAATGTCTATTTATTGCAGATGTCGAACTAACTTAAAAGATAAATAGTATGTATTATCGGCCTGTTTATCTGCTTAACAGTACATTCTTAGTGGATCCCTGATGACTAAAGAGTAGATAAAACTGTAAACAATATATCATATATAGAATAAAAACTAGGGGATAAAAGTGTTATTATATTCAGAGTTAACGATCTTCTTCTAACTAGTATAAGAGCAAAGTATAGAGTTATAAATATAAGTTACCTTTATTTGGGCAGTTAAGTAATTTAATATTGAATTGTTTTAAGGTGAGATGAACTGATATGTTTTATAACTTAATTACATTCACTAGTTTTCCAAGTTTTTATGACATTAATATTTGTTTCTGTTTTAGGAAATGTCAGGGATCCACATAAGTGTACTATAATAGGTTTGGGGATTTCCGACATACCAAGCATGATCTAGTGTTTAAATACAATAAAACCAGCATGACATACTAACACGTAACAAGAGCTTTGACTTAGATAAAGAAAACTTGAATGTGGCAAAATGTAAAACACAGAGATGCTTATCCAGCAGCACCAGTGTTAACTACATTTTGTATTTGTATAAAGCTTTATATTTCAAAAAGTAGAAGACCTGGATGCTTCATACCTTGTATATAGATGCTTTATGTAACAAAGTTTCTTTCCGGCATATGTTCATTGTCCTCATTTTTAGCATTTTTATGGTTCAGTGACTGCTTAAAAAAACTGCATAGTTTTTTCAACCACATATCTCTTAGGATACCTAAATTTGGTATATGAGATCCTTGCAAGGTCTTCATGTTAGACAGGGTTCTCTGACTTGGCCTCATTATACATGTATAAATCAGTAATCATGGTTAAGCTTGTGTGATTATTTCAGTTTTTCAGATACTAGATCAACATGAAGTTTTTATGGTTATGCCTGTTTCTCAGATACTGTAAGCGAAAGTTCAATAATGGATCTTGATAATATCAAGTTTATGTGATATCTGTAGAAAACCTTGATCTGAAAGATTTTCAACATAAAGTTCAATCTTAATCAGTAAAGCAGGCAAAACATCTCACGGTTAACAGTCTTGTTGACCAGTATATGAGAATAGTAAAATTCTATGGCTGTTTTAGTGATTTTGTTTTTATTACCACCTTGTAGGCAGGTATTTAGCTTGATCGTTGTTCACACTACTGTTTCACATGCAATTGCTTGTTTATCTTTCTTGCATAACTGCTTTTATGCTAATTTTAATTGTTTATTTTTATTTTCAAAAAGGATTCTTAAAGGAATTGGGTTATTTCAGTAAATTGATTTTTGGGTTATTTCAGTAAATTATTTTTTTTATTTTGTATTTTTGATACACATGTGTAGGGCATTTGTAATCTTGTAATTATTGGATAATCAGTTAAAAAAAAGAACAGTCTTACATCCACATCCTTTGGTGTCTGGTGAATAGTTGTCTCATTGGCAATCATACCACATCCTGAAATTTTATAAAGATATTGTCTGTCTACCTTCATCACTTCAAAAGGATATTTCCAATGAGGGAATAAGGATAACAGGACATTAAGAATAACGTGCATAGATAATGACCTTGAGAAGAATATTTATTACATAAGCATAATAATGCAAAATATCTACTTAGGACACCACAAAAAGTAGTATAACTGCATATCTTTTTGTACATTAATTAATTTTGTAAATTGGATTATATTTGCAATGAATAAAAGAAGATGCATGTACATATCATTGAGATAGAAACCCAGCAACAAAAATAATCAAAAGACATCCAGACAGCAAACTGTCTTCACAGTTTTTTTTACCACAAAACATAACATAATATCAATTTATCTTGGTGTTTATGTATTTTACAGCAGAAAGAAAGATGGAGAGCTTCCAGACAAAGTCTTTTTACCAAGGAGATCAGTCCTGACGTAAGTTTTTATGAGTAACTTTAAAATGTACTTTAGTTTTTATGAGTAACTTTAAAATGTACTTTACTTTTTATGAGTAACTTTAAAATGTACTTTATTTTTTATGAGTAACTTTGAAATGTACTTTATTTTTTATGAGCAACTTTAAAATGTACTTAAGTTTTTATGAGTAACTTTAAAATGTATTTTAGTTTTTATGAGTAACTTTGAAATGTACTTTAGTTTTTATGAGCAACTTTAAAATGTACTTTAGTTTTTATGAGCAACTTTAAAATGTACTTTAGTTTTTATGTGCAACTTTAAAATGTACTTTAGTTTTTATGAGCAACTTTAAAATGTACTTTAGTTTTTATGAGCAACTTTAAAATGTACGTTTATCTGCCTGATCGTTACAACTGCTTTGATTTCACTATGTCTGGACATGTTTGTTTATTCTCTGTTCAAAATTTTTCCTTCAACAAATTTTTTTTGGTTTTTGATTTGTTTTGTGTTAAATATACAAAATATATATATATAAGAAGACGTGGAATGATTACCAATGATGCAACTTTCCACCTGAAACAAAATGAGGTAGTTTTAACCTTCAACCATGACCAAAACCCATACCGCATAGCAAGCTTTAAGAGGGTCGACTTGACAAAATGTAAAACAAAAAACAAAAATTCAACATCAAAACCAATGGCCTGATTTGTGTATAAAACAATAATGATATACAGCAACAAACAACAACCACCAAATTACAGGCTCCTGAATTAGTACAGGCACACACATTTATGGAAACAATTTTTTGTTTTTGATTGGTAAAGTTAGTGCAGGTATAATATAGTCTTTAAACCAACCCTCCACTAAGCTGGTACAGTGGTGCAATAGCACAAAATAAGAACAAACTGTTAAAGTCAGTTGAAAAGGGCTTAACTCAATCATATCGATACATAGCACAAAAAATACAACTAAACAAAAAGACTAAAAGACATGTGTGCAAAGTACCTATCTGAGAGTACTCTCAGTTACTGAAAGCTAGTTTAAAACAAATAAAAACTAGTAAAAAAAATCATGTTTCCGAGGTAAAATAAATATAGAATAAATTAAGATTAGTTAGTTTCCACTTTGGTTGTTATATGTATTATCTAAATTCAGTAATTTTTATATTGATTTTTGTAAGTGATAAAAGTAAGGGAATGTTAAAAAATGTTATTTGAAAGAGAGAAATATGTTTTCTGAAGCAACAATGTTGGTATATCAAATCTGTAGTGTAATGGTTAGAACACAGGAATTCCCTGGCAATTTTCTTGCCTTCTTACCTGGGTTTGAAAAGAATTTACATTAAAAACATTTCGTTTAAAAGCTTCTAAAATTCTTTTTGATAATTGAAGTTAAGATCTTCTGTAGTTAGATCTAACGATATAGAATGGTCAGCGATACAACAAATGAAGTAAAAATGAATTAAAAGTGCTAATCAAAGACTTGTAGCCAGAATGAATTTTTAGAAAAAAAGAAGGGGAAAACAGAAAACAAGATTATTTCATGGTTTGTGTCAAAAAGCTAGACATAGGTATGCTGTTTCCGGCATCGGTGGCGACGGCGGCGTCAACAATGTATTAGTTTGTGATTAGGCCTAGTTCATGGTGAACCACTAGTGGTAGGTCTATGATATTTGGTATGCAGTTGTATTAGCATTGGCACATCTCATTACCATGGAGATTATTTGGCCCCGCCCCCTCTGTCAAGGTCTATTGACTTTGAAACTTTTCATAGTTTACATGTATTAGTTTGTGATTAGGTCAATTTATGGGGAACCACTAGTGGTAGGTCAATGATATTTGGTATGCAGTTGTATAAGCATTGGCATATCTCATTTCCATGGAGATTATTTGGCTCCACCTCCTTAGTCATAGTCTATAGACTTTGAAAATTTTGCTAAGTTAACATGTATTAGTTTGTGATTAGGTCAGTTCAAGGAGAACCATTAGTGGTAGGCCAATGTTAATTGGTGTTCAGTTGTATAAGCATTAGCACATCCCATTTCCATTTAGAATATTTGGCCCCGCCCCTCAGTCATGGTCCATTTACTTTGAAACTTTTGCTTAGTTTACATGTATTAGTTTGTCATTAGATCAACTGCTAATGTTAAGTCAATGATATTTGGTATGCAAATTTATTGGCATTTGCAAGTATCGTTCTAATGGAGATTATATAGCCCCACCCCTGATCATGGTTCATTGACTTTGAAACTTTTACATAGTTTACAAGTTAATGTTTGTGTTTAGGTTTGTTTAAAGGGAACGACTTATAATAAGTCAATGGTATTTGGTATGCAGTTGTATTAGCATTGGCACATCTCATTCTATGGAGATTGTTTAGCCATGTACCTTCAGTCATGGTTCATCGACTTATTTGCATAACTTACATGTTAAAGTATTGCTATTTTAATTTCAACATTTGCATTATCAAAATTACAAAAAGGCAAGACATATCTCTGTGATAACAATTTATTTAAAATAGAATTAAGGTGCTTAGAATGAATAAAATGCACAGAAAGGTCTTTAATGACACCCAAAAAGTATCTTCAATAAAAAAAAAACAACAAATAGCCGTACAATAAAAGAATAAGAGGAGAAGTAGACTATAGAAGCAGATTGAATTCACTTCCATTTTTGTCTCTCCTTGATAGAGTCAAAAAGCGAGACATAGGTATGCTGTTTCTGGCGTCCGTGGCGTCAACAATGTATTAGTTTGTGATTAGGTATAGCTCATGGTGAACCACTAGTGGCAGGTCAATGATATTTGGTATGCAGTTGTTTTCATTACCATGGAGATTATTTGGCCCCGCCCCCTCAGTCAAGGTCTATTGACTTTGAAACTTTGCTTAGTTTACATGTATTAGTTTGTGATTAGGTCAGTTCATGGGGAACCACTAGTGGTAGTTCAATGATATTTGGTATGCAGTTGTATTAGCATTGGCACATCTCATTACCATGGAGATTATTTGGCCCCGCCCCCTCAGTCAAGGTCTATTGACTTTGAAACTTTGCTTAGTTTACATGTATTAGTTTGTGATTAGGTCAGTTTATGGGGAACCACTAGTGGTAGGTCAATGATATTTGGTATGCAGTTGTAAAAGCATTTGCAAGTTTCATTTCCATGGAGATTATATAACCCCACCCCCTAATTATGGTTCATTGACTTTGAAACTTTTACATAGTTTACAAGTTAATGTTTGTGTTTAAGTTTGTTTAAAGGAACGACTTATGAAAAGTCAATGGTATTTGGTTTGCAGTTGTATTAGCATTGGCACATCTCATTTCCATGGAGATTGTTTAGCCCTGTACCTTCAGTCATGGTTCATTGACTTTGAATATTTGCATAACTTGCATGTTAAAGTATTGCTATTTTAATTTCAACATTTGCATTATCAAAATAACAAATAGGCGAGACATATCTCTGTGTTAACAGTTTATACGCACTTTAAAGTTGAAAAATAACATCAAAGTCTATTTTAAATCATCTATACAACATATTGAGTGGAATTAATGGATGACATTTAATATTTAATAAACTATGTGTTAAACACTACTAGATTCAAACACTCTATTCTTAAATGCAGTTACCTTCCTTTTGATATATCTGTAAGGATAGAAAGCACTGATCGCTCGAAAAATCAATCAATCTATATTGTAATATTTGTTTTTTTATTTGTAGAGAGTTGTTTGAGATAAGCCATATAAAGACCATCTACCACATGTTTGTTGCCATACTCATTGTGTTTTGTCTCAACACATTTGTCTATGACATAGTTCATGAAGGAAGGTAGGTATAGTCTTCATCCTCTGTAGGTAGCAAATGCATGTCATTGTTGTAAGAAATAAATGTATATTGTGTTGAAAATTTTGAACCTTTATACTGTGGATTCATTTATTTTCGTGGGTACCAATTTTCGTGGTTTAAGGAAAACTAACATGTTAGTGGATATTTAATTTCGTGGTTTTGCCGAAGTCTGCATACAGGCCTATAGGAAATATGTCATTCGTTGAACATTTAATTTCGTGGTTCACCTATACCAACGAAATCCACCAAAAATTGGTATCCAACAAATAATAATGAATCCACAGTATTATATCATTTTAGACTGTATATGCATGTGGATGATGAATAGCAGGTAGAACATTATTTACCAATTGAAAGCAATTAAAAGCTAAACCTTTGGTTTAACAGCTTCTTTGAAAAAATTTCAACCATGTCACAGTATAGATGCAATCAACATTCACCAATTTCAAAATTATTCAGTGTTTGAATATCATATATGTAGTGGAACATGAAGTTGTTCAAGGATATGTAAGCTCCTTTCATTCTCTTTGAAGACAGACTCATAAGAGTAAATGAACACATCAGCAAGAAGAGGAGCACAGTTGGTACCATAAAGATTGCCAATGGTATTTTATAAAATATGTCAAAATGTGAGGTAGATGTGATATCACAATGAAACTTCACCTCAAAATTCAACACACATGTTTGTTCCTGTCGTGAGTGAATTGACATGTGAGTTGACTTGATCATATTTGACCATTGGTAATTTGCACTTCCTTATGATATTGTAAACTTTCAGAATAAATCTAAACTTTGAGATGATGCAGTGGGCATTAGGAAAGAAATCCAAGGTGATGGAATTATGGGTCATGATGCAGTTGAGTACTCTAGTCATTGTCTATCCTATGTTCTATTACTGGGCCAATAACAGACCTGCAGGACCAGCAAGTAAGTACATGTAGACCTAGAAAGGGGTCGATAACACCATAACTTATATTTGACATAATAGTGAAATCAATGAGATAGGAACTCAATGACACAAAAATTCCTATAAAATTCCTAAAGACATACAGAGGTCAGCACACAGGATTCAACAATAAACAGATTTCTATAAAAATATGGCAAGCTGTAAATGCTTTAAAGTCTAAAAAAAAAAAATTTTGACAGAGTTTCAAAGTTTTGTCATAATTAAATTTTCTAAATGTTAAAAAAAGCATTAAGATATGACAAAAGACAACCAATAGGTTCTTGGCATTGAAAATCCTACTAAAATCATACCAATATGGAATAATAAACATTACTGTATCAAAGAAATCTTGCAGCAAAGCAAGGTCAAAGTATATCATGCCATCTAACTCTCTAATATTAGTGATTTTCATAGTTCAATACATCCATTAGAATATCAATTGTTTTATATAGTAAATTTTATGATTGAATTTAATATTCATATTGAAAGTTGATGCATATTATGTATTATAGTAGCCAAGTAAAAAAAGTATAAAATGATTATTTTTTTTATTCTTTCAGAATGGATAGATTATGTGGTTTTGTCTTTCTATATTGCATTTATGTTAGCTTTTCTTGTATTACCTGTAAATTACATTGTGGAAAATGCTCTACCTCCTGCCTCAACTGTTATTATAGCATGTGAACAGGTATGTCATACATCATGTTAAGAGATACTAGTTTACTGTTTTTTTCTTTTTTTTAAATAAAAGTCACCTGTCTGCAGAAATGGAAAGGTGAACCGATTTGTTGGATATGTGATGGTGTTTGTCAGTGGTTAATGTGATGAAATTGTGTGACAATATAGCAATAGATGTGTAAAACCATGCCAAACAAATATAAAAAAAGTAAAATGGAGAGCACTGACATTTTTAAAGGACTGCTCCTTATGTTATAACTATGGAAACTTAGAATAAATAAAGTTAGTAAAAAGTATTAAAAGCTATAAATACCTTATGTTATAGACATTTGCCTTTACATATAATTTTTTTTTTACATTTTTATTTGTAAATAAGAAGATGTGTTTTGATTTATCCCATAAAGTTGATAATCATTTTACATACTTTAACTTTTCAGCTAAGGTTGATAATGAAGATGCATTCATTTGTGAGGGAAAATATACCAAGAGTTTTGAATTTTAACAACAAAAAAGGTAGGCAATAGTAGCTAATAGATATTAGCTAAGAGCTACTTTAATAATAGCATTGTTTTAACATCCCTGATTTCTTATGCTGTTATCAAGGGGCTTCAAACAGTCATGGTATTTGAAGAAGTTCTTGTGCTGGTTTAAACTTCAAACAACCAGGGTATTTGATGTAGTTCTCTTGCTGGTTTAGACTTCAAACAGCTAGGGTATTTGAGGCACTTTGTAAACACAAAAGATTGTGGTTAATTCTCCAAAGCACATCGGTTTTGAGGCTCAAACTTTTTGTATATTTGGATCCCCAAACTATTAGTTTGGAGCCCTGAGATTACTTTAGGAGCATTTTTCATGTGCAGTAAAATTACTATCATATAATATAAGTAGATGTGGTATGATTGGCAGTAAAACAACTATCAAACACAGGCCAAATGAAGTGGATGTAAACATTTATGCATGTAGGTCATTGACAGCCTTCAACAAAGAGAAAGAAAAACTCATACAGTATAGCCAGCTATAAAAGCCCCTGACATGACAAATGAGAAACAATTCAATTGAAAAACTAACAGCCAAATTTATGACAAAACAATAAACGATAAACAGATATAACAGACAGCAACCCAACATAACCTCTGAATTAAGTAATCAATCAGTTTCCTATGTTTCTGAACATTTTACTATTTTGGAAGTTAAAACAAACAGCATAAAAGCTCTAGGATTATTCTACACACAAGACAAAGTATGTACTATATAAACATCTGTAATTCAGGTGGCAAATGAACTAGTGATTTAAACAACTTGCTAGTAGTCAGGACCTTACAGACAATTAACCGTATGTGATTTGCCTATTTACAAGCTAAATGTGTATCAGTAATAACACTTTAAGATTGGTTGTATTAATTCATTTACAATTCAAACCTGATTTCCCAACTCCATTGCTATGCTGCATTTACTATTTACTTTCACCTTCTTACATCTTTTTTGGCTTAATTGATGAACTTCAACATGAAGCCCAAATGTTTAGCTTAGATACATGTTTATATTACAGATGGTGATAGTCCAAGTGATGAGATCATTTGGTTTTATTTCTCAGTTGCTGTGGGTGGGGGTATCAGTGATCATTAGATCACCTCTCTAGTTTAACCTAAGATGGTTACTATATTGATACATGTATATATTACAGATAATGACAGTCCAAGTGCTGAGATCATTTGTCCTGATATCTCAGTTGCTGTGGGTTGGGGAATCAGTAATCACTAGATCACCTCTCTAGTTTAACCTAAGATGGTTACTATATTGATACATGTATATATTACAATATTACAGATGATGACAGTCCAAGTGCTGAGATCATTTGTCCTGATTTCTCAGTTTCTGTTGGGGGGGGGGGGGGGGGTATCAGTAATCACTAGATCACCTCTCTAGTTTAACCTAAGATGGTTACTATATTGATACATGTATATATTACAGATGATGACAGTCCAAGTGAAGAGGTCATTTGTCCTGATTTCTCCAAATATTTATATTTTCTGTTTGTACCAACCCTCATATACAGAGATGATTATCCACGGTAGGATATTTATTATACTAGAACATTTTGATACATTGATATACGTTAATTTGCACAGTAGTAAGTAATTTAATATTCTAATGAATATTTTATGTAACAATTTTTTTCATTGGCTAAAATTTACTGTCAAATCAACAGTTGACATGTCATAACTAAGGAGTGAGCTGACATATTAAAAATTGCTTGGATCAACAAATGTTTGATTACTACCATATAATCGATAATAAAACAACACATACCTCAAAAATGCCGTTTTGTTGTGATTTTATCCAAATTTAAATCATAGAATTAACATGATAATCTTCAGTTTGGTAGTTTTCATCTGTATGACGTTTATGCGCCAAAATCGTTCATGAAGTTTTGAGGAATTTAGTTTTATTTCAAATTTATGACTTTTTTCAAGCTTTAATGTTTTATTTCTTTGTGTAATGCATTAGAATCGAAATAAGAGTACTGTAGGTGAAGAGTTGCTGCCCTCAGTTTTGATTTATTATTACCTGTTAAGTTCAATGGACAGAATTTTAGTATCCTGTTTTATACCTTGTAAATGATATAGATTTTACTATATTTTCAGGACAAAAACAATAAGATGGAATTATGTTGTAACAAACTTTGGTCAGGTGATTGGATGTTTGTTCTTTATTTACTATATATTTATGAGATTTTGTGTGCCATATTTCCACAACTTTAACCAGGAGCATGTTACTCCAGAGTTATTGGTGATGACTGTGTTTGGTTGTATGTTACCAGGGACACTTGTTTTATTTATAGGTATGTATCATAAGTGTAATAAAACGCAAAGCATTTTAATTAAGCACATATACAAAAGAAAGGAGTATGTATGAAAAAGAGCTTTTGTTTGTGTACAGTTGGTTTACATCCTTTTTTGTAACATTAGCAGGATGTTTCTATATAAATACTATTTATGACGATAGATGAAGGAGCTAAATGTAAACTTTGTGAATGCAGCAGTAAATGAAAGAGAGGTTTTAGGCAATAAATCAGACAAAAAAAATTTAGGGACATACATAATATGAATAATTAGAATTGATACCATCCAATTTAGTTGATTGGTTAGATTTAATATAACATAAGGACAGCTGTCTTATTACTTTCTAAAACTTTGAAGATATAGTCATAACAATTGGATGTTCTTTTACAGGATTTTTTGCAATTCTTCATTCCTGGTTTAATGCCTTTGCAGAGATGTTAAGATTTGCAGATAGAATGTTCTATAAGGTATTTTGCTAATTAGTAGAGTTAAATTATTTCAATTATGAGAAAAATAATTTCAAGAATACAAAATCAATCAGCTGTATACTGAATCACTGATGCAGAATACAAAACCAGTCAGTTGTATACTGAGTCACTGCTGCTGAATACAAAACTAGTCATTTGTATACTGAGTCACTGCTGCTGAATACAAAACCAGTCAGTTGTATACTGAGTCACTGCTGCTGAATACAAAACAAGTCATATGTATACTTAGTCACTGCTGGTGAATACAAAACCAGTCATATGTATACTTAGTCGCTGCTCCTGAGTACAAAATCAGTCAGTTGTATACTGAGTTACTACTCCTGAATACAAAACCATTTAGTTGTATACCGAGTCACTACTCCTGAATACAAAATCAGTCAGTTGTATACTTTTTGGATATTCACCTTCTCTAAGGGCCATAATAGTATATTGTTTACCATTTACAATTCTTTGTAGTACACACCATATGGTGTAATATCTATTGTTTACTGTTTACAATTCCATGTAGTACACACCATATGGTGTAATATCTGTTATTTACCATTGACAATTATTTGTAGTACACACAACATGTTGGATATCTATTGTTTACCATTGACAATTCTTTGTAGTACACACAACATGTTGAATATCTATTGTTTACCATTGACAATTCTTTGTAGTACACACCATATGGTGTAATATCTATTGTTTACCATTTACAATTCTTTGTAGTACACACCATATGGTGTAATATCTATTGTTTACCATTTACAATTCTTTGAAGTACACACCATATGGTGTAATATCTATTGCTTACCATTTACAATTCTTTGTAGTACACACCATATGGTGTAATATCTATTATTTTCCATTATCCACTCTTTAAACTACACTTTTGAAAATATTACATAGAATGCTTTAGATTCAGGTGTTGGTAAACCAGAACTGTTTTATTTTTTCATTCGTGTAGCAACATGTGCTAATTAATTCAATATTATTTAATATTTTCCAGGATTGGTGGAATTCTACATCTTTTTCAAACTACTACAGGACATGGAACGTGGTTGTACATGATTGGTTGTATACATATGTCTATAAAGATGTGTGTAGGGTAGGTGTAAAGTAATCTGTGTTGTATACATATGTCTATAAAGATGTGTATAGGGTAGGTGTAAAGTAATCTGTGTTGTATACATATGTCTATAAAGATGTGTGTAGGGTAGGTGTAAAGTAATCTGTGTTGTATACATATGTCTATAAAGATGTGTGTAGGGTAGGTGTAAAGTAATCTGTGTTGTATACATATGTCTATAAAGATGTGAGTAGGGTAGGAGTAAAGTAATCTGTAAAATAATCATCAGGGAAAAATGAATTTAACATCTACAACTTTATAATTAAAAGACATGTTTTCAGACATAAAAGACCTACTGTCTAGTCCCAGTCACCTCAAAGAGGGATTTTTTAATGAAATGTTGCCATTAAAAGATTAACTTTTTTTACCAATCTTGCACTTGTTTGGAGGCATTGTTTAGTGAACAAGATTGCCATCTTAATCACATTGATTTTAGGGCCAATCCATTAAAACACACATGGGACCCAGAGAAGGCACTTAAACTGTGGGTGGATGTCAAATACGATGAAAATGTAAATGAAAATCTAACTTTGCTTCTATAGCTTGTTATCCCATTTTGAAAGTGCCTTCCCTGGGTACCATGCATTTTTAAATTGAAAAAAAAAAACCTTCATTTATAAACACAAGATCAATGTAAATTTAATGCACTGCATACCAGTCTAACTGTCTTAGAATTTCATTTACCGGTTTGTTACAAGTCAGCGGAAAAAAACAGTCAAAATTTCTCTTTTAGAATAAAAAGTACATTTATTGTGACAATTTCTCTGTCAAATTTTAGTGACACATGCTAGTCTTGTCCGGATCAAGATCCAATCAAATCTGAATTAAGTTTAATGAGTGAGGTGAATAGCAGTTATTTTTTTTATAGCTCTATTGCTTTATATCCATTGTTTTTCCTTCACATGTTATAGGAAGAGGTAACAATCCAGCAGCTATGGCCTGTGTATTCGTATTCTATTGTTATCCTTTATTTTAACAGGTTATAGGTAGAGGTAACAAGCCAGCAGCCATGGCCTGTGTATTTGTATTCTATTGTTATCCTTTATTTTAACAGGTTATAGGTAGAGGTAACAAGCCAGCAGCCATGGCCTGTGTATTCGTATTCTATTGTTATCCTTTATTTTAACAGGTTATAGGTAGAGGTAACAAGCCAGCAGCCATGGCCTGTGTATTCGTATTCTATTGTTATCCTTTATTTTAACAGGTTATAGGTAGAAGTAACAAGCCAGCAGCCATGGCCTGTGTATTCGTATTCTATTGTTATCCTTTATTTTAACAGGTTATAGGTAGAGGTAACAAGCCAGCAGCCATGGCCTGTGTATTTGTATTCTATTGTTATCCTTTATTTTAACAGGTTATAGGTAGAGGTAACAAGCCAGCAGCCATGGCCTGTGTATTCGTATTCTATTGTTATCCTTTATTTTAACAGGTTATAGGTAGAGGTAACAAGCCAGCAGCCATGGCCTGTGTATTTGTATTCTATTGTTATACTTTATTTTAACAGGTTATAGGTAGAGGTAACAAGCCAGCAGCCATGGCCTGTGTATTCGTATTCTATTGTTATCCTTTATTTTAACAGGTTATAGGTAGAGGTAACAAGCCAGCAGCCATGGCCTGTGTATTCGTATTCTATTGTTATCCTTTATTTTGACAGGTTATAGGTAGAGGTAACAAGCCAGCAGCCATGGCCTGTGTATTTGTATTCTCTGCTATTTTCCATGAGTATGTTCTGGTGTTGTGTTTTAACTTCTTTTACCCTGTACTGCTGGTTATGTTTGCTGGAGCTGGCTGTAAGTAACAAAATAAAATTTTAGTAGCAAAAATAATGTCAAATTTAAAATGTTAATGAGTTGATTTTTTGGGGTTATAAACATATGTATTTTGCAATTTAGGAGACACTTATTTTTTAGTTTTATTTGTAACATTACAAAAATGTTTTGATATATAAGTTTCATGTAAGTTTCAAAAAATTTTAGTTTTAATGCAATAAGAAAAGTTAAATATTTATATGGTTAATTACATCAATGGGTAAAAGATGTTCACAATTATTTAATTCACTGTCTGATTCTAGTATAAGCTCTTACTATAATTTTGAATTAAATAAAAGATGTTTTTGCGGTAAAATACATTTTTATATATTTAAAGTTAAAAAATATAATTTTCTTTGTTAAACATGTTAAAAGGGATTTAAGAAAAGGTAATTTTGAAGAATTTAATGGAAATCTGTATTAAAATGCTGAATTCTGCAACATTTTCCAATGTGTATTTTTTTAGCTTTATTCTGACAAGAAATGATAACTTGAATCTCAGTTTTTGTAAATGGCTTTACTAGCTGCTTTGATCTAACATGAGATGTTTCATATTTTTTATATGATTAAATGTTGCTACTTTTGTAGAATTCGGCTTCATTAAGAAATGGTTTGCCTTTTTCTTTTGAGTTGAACAAATTGAGTTACCTCTCATTTATTAGATTGATCAAAATAATCAAGAATTAAAGTAACTTGAAAGCAGATCAGATATCCTTTTATAGGGAATCCCATTAGATATACTTTCTGTTTTCTTCTGTTTCAGTTGGTTTTATGTTCCTGACAGATAAAGGTGTATCTAGAAGTTGGAATGTATTTCTATGGGTAGCACTATTCACAGGAACTGGATTGTTGATGTGTTTGTATAGTATGGAATGGTATGCCAGAATTAACTGTCCAGTTAACACAGTGAGTATTATTATCATAGTTTTCAAAGAACAAATATTAGAGGAACATAAATGTAGAAAAAAGTAATACTAAAAAAATGTTAATAAAAGGAAGGGTAAATAACAACCAAACAGTTAGAAAGAAGAGATTCTTTTATTTTTGTAATACCATTTTTGTCTCCTCAATATTTTAAAAGGAAGAAAAGCTGGATACATATCTGATAGGCTAAAATTTCTGTCTGGCATTTGTATTTTCTCCATGACCTCATTTACATGGTTTAATGGCTGCATAATAATCTTCATAGATCATTGGTAATGTTAAGTGTATGTGATACATGTAGTAAGAATTTGATCATGAGGACTTTAAACGTAATCAGTAAAGCAGGCGACACATTTCAGCTTTCTTTGTAATTCTTTTATATGACATATGTGAAATAGGAAACCTGTTTAAAATATTATTTTATCATTTCAGGACAACATCTTTGATAAACTGATTCCCAGATCATGGACCTGCAATTTTGAAGCCATGGAAAATAATTTGAAGTCACCATAGTTTTGGATCAACAGTTCTAATGAACAATTGAATGCTCAAAACCGAGTTGGAGATTTTTACTCAGGATTCTCTCTATGTCTGCATAAAGATATACTGTCATGGGACCAGTGTTTTCCATTAGATCAAGTATCATATTTCTGTTAAACAAATGTTTTATGTAATGATGGTGAAGGTCAACATGACCTTTAACATTAATCTTTTGATTTATTATTCTAGCTGATACACAACTTTTTGTGGCATTTGAGCATTAAAACTGAACAATAGTCTCTTCTATGAAAAAGCACATAAGATTATCTTTCACTTTTCCATATTGTGATGTAATTTACAGGAACCTTTTTTTTTTTTTTACTTTTTGTTTTTGTTTGAAGTCATTTAAAAATTGTATACTATTTGAAAGAATCTGAATTCAAGTCTAAATAGTTACATAGTCTACAGAATTGGGATGTTCACTTTAACATATACATCGTTTTTAGTACTTAATCCATTGTAACACAACAATCCATAAGTGATCCATTGGTGATTTATTTTATTTTATTCAATGATTCATTTGTACTCAAATAAGACTTATGTAAAAAACTTATTACACTGCCAAATTATGGTAAGACTAGCATTATAACATTTTTCGTTCAGTTAATCATTTGATGTATATTTTTGAGAATATCTGTATGCTCATGTCTTTATGTTGTTTATAACTGGGGATTGTAGATGTATTGGGTACAATTAGTGACTGTTTTTAGCTCACCTGGCCCAAAGGGCCAGGTGAACTTTTCTCATCACTTGGCGTCCATCGTCCGTAGTCGTCGTCGTTAGCTTTTTACAAAAATCTTCTCCTCTGAAACCATTGGGCCAAATTTAACCAAACTTGGCCACAATCATCATTAGGGTATCTAGTTTAAAAAATGTGTCCGATGACCCTGCCAACCAACCAAGATGGCCGCCATGGCTAAAAATAGAACATAGGGGTAAAATGTAGATTTTGGCTTATATCTCTGAAACCAAAGCATTTAGAGTAAATCTGACATAGGGTAAAACTGATTATCAGGTCAAGATCTATCTGCCCTGAAATTTTCAGACAAATTTGACAACCTGTTGTTGGGTTGCTGCCCCTGAATTGGTAATTTTAAGGAAATTTTGCAGTTTTTGGTTATTATCTTGAATATTATTATAGATAGAGATAAACTGTAAACAGCAATAATGTTCAGCAAAGTAAGATCTACAAATAAGTTGTCATGACCAAAATTATCAGTCGACCCCTTTAGGAGTTATTGCCCTTAATAGTCAATTTTTAACAATTTTTTGTAAATTTTTGTAATCTTTTACAAAAATCTTCTTCTCTGAAACTACTGTGACAAATTTAACCATACTTGGCCATAATCATTATTAGGGTATCTAGTTTAAAAAATTTGTCCGATGACCCCGCCTTCCAACCATCATGGCCGACTTGGTTAAAAATAGAACATAGGGGTAAAATGCAGTTTTTGGTTTATATCTCTGAAACTAAAGCATTTAGAACAAATCTGACAGGTGGCAAAAATGTTTATCAGATTTAGATTAATCTGCTCTGAAATTTTCAGACGAATCCGACAACTCGTTGTTGGGTTGCTGCCCCTGAGTTAGTAATTTTACAAAAATTTTGCAGTTTTTATACGACCGCAAAAATTTTTGCGGTCGTATATTGGTATGACGTTGTCGTCGTCGTCGTCCGGCGTCGTCCGAAGACACATTGGTTTTCGCACTCTAACTTTAGTTTAAGTGAATGGATCTCTATGAAATTTTACCATAAGGTTCAATACCACAAAAGAAAGGTTGGGATTGATTTTGGGGGTTATGGTACCAACAGTTAAGGAATTAGGGGCCAAAAAGGGGCCAAAAATAATAACTTCCAGACATAACTTGTGTGTTAGTGTATGGATCTCTCTGACATTGTACCACAAGGTTCCATATCACAAAGGGAATGCTGGGGTTGATTTTGGGGGTAATTGCCTCAAAATATTAGGAATTAGGGGCCAAAAAAGGGGCAAAAAACAAGCATTTTTCTAGTTTCATGACAATAACTTGTGTGAAAGTGTATGGATCTTTCTGAAATTGTACTACAAGGTTCCATATCACAAAGGGTAAGCTGGAATTGAGTTTGGGGGTAATTGCCCGAAACGTTTAGGAATAAGGGGCCAAAAAACACATTTTTCTAGTTTCCAGACAATAACTTGTGTTCAAGTGTATGGATCTCTCTGAAATTGTACCACAAGGTTCCATATCACAAAGGGAAAGCTGGAATTGATTTTGGGGGTAATTGCCCGAAACGTTTAGGAATAAGGGGCCAAAAAACACATTTTTCTAGATTCCAGACAATAACTTGTGTTCAAGTGTATGGATCTATCTGAAATTGTACTGCAAGGTACCATACCACAAAGGGAAGGCTGGGATTGAGTTTGGGGGTGATGAATCATAAGGGGGTTCAAAAAATTGGGGGGGGGGGTTTTTTTTTTTTCCTTTTTTTTTCTTTTAAAATTTTCCATTTTAAGTTGGTTATTTCTGATTTATATTTAAAAGCAAATAATAATGATATGGTAGGAGATACACACCAAACAGGATGTGTAAATTATTATATAATAAGTATTGTGCAATAGCAAGAAATTTTCAATTGCACAGTATTGCACAATAGCAAGAAATCTTCAATTGCACAGTATTGCGCAATAGCAAGAAATCTTCAATTGCACAGTATTGCGCAATAGCAAGAAATATCCAATAGCACAATATTGCGCAATAGCAAGAAATTGTCAATTGTGCAGTATTGCGCAATAGCAAGAAATATTCAATTGCACAGTATTGTGCAAAAGAAGATACTTCGTATTAATTGCTTATTTCTTGACCAATTTCAATGGGGTTTTATTCTTGAATTCTTGGGGTTCTTTAATATGCTGAATCTAACCGTGTATTAAGTTTTTGGATTTTGGGCCCCGTTTTTAAATTGGTCCACATTGAGGTCCAAAGGGTCCAAAATTAAACTTTGTTTGATTTCATCAAAAATTGAATTATTGGGGTTCTTTGATATGCCGAATCTAACCGTGTATTTAGATTCTTAATTTTTGGTTCCGTTTTCAAATTGGTCTACATTAAGGTCCAAAGGGTCCAAAATTAAACTAAGTTTGATTTTAACAAAAATTGAATTCTTAGGGTTCTTTGATATGCTGAATCTAAACATGTATTTAGATTTTTGATTATGGGCCCAGTTTTCAAGTTGGTCCAAATCGGGGTCCAAAATTAAACTTTGTTTGATTTCAACAAAAATTGAATATATGGGTTCTTTGATATGCTGAATCTAACCATGTATTTAGATTTTTGATTATGGGCCCAGTTTTCAAGTTGGTCCAAATCGGGGTCCAAAATTAAACTTTGTTTGATTTCATCAAAAATTGAATTCTTGGGGTTCTTTGATATGCTGAATCTAACCATGTATTTAGATTTTGGATATTGGACCATAATAGGTGAATGTCCAATTTAAAATTTTTAAGTTCTTAGACCACATTCATTCTGTGTCAGAAACCTATGCTGTGTCAAATATTTAATCACAATCCAAATTCAGAGCTGTATCAAGCTTGAATGTTATGTCCATACTTGCCCCAACTGTTCAGGGTTTGACCTCTGCGGTCGTATCAAGCTGCGCCCTGCGGAGCATTTTATTTGTTATTATCTTAGATATCATTATAATATCTAATATATTATACTATTAATTATGATTTTAACCTTATTTTACATGATTTCCAAAGCATCAGTAAATACAGGTGAGCGATACAGGCTCTTGAGAGTCTCTAGTTTGTCATTGTTTTTGTAAATATTTACTTTTATCAGTATTGTTTGCTTTTCATTGTAATAGTCAAGTGTGATGCATAATTCAAATGGTCTGCATTCTAGATTAAAGGCAATAAGATATTTATATAAAATACTGATATTTAATATTAGTAGTCAGCTACTTATAAAATGAGAGATTTATGAATATGTATAAGGTGTAAACAGATAACATGTTATAATGTGACAAAACTGTTACCATGACAACAATTTAAAAAATATTGTTTCTCTTTCTTGTACTGTCTTCTTGAAATAAAGCACATAACATTCTCAGATGGTCCATTCCTGGTTAAAATGAGTAAGGCTACATAGAACAAAATAAAAGAGGAAACTACTTCAGACATTTTTGTAAACTGACATTTGATTTTATTTGACTAGGTTTAAAGGATCAATAAGGCAAATTTAGGATGTTATTTATAGTATTTTGACAGATTACAATGTTACCGAATATAGTAAAGCACAAATATGAAAATCCACAACAAATACACAGTGGCTGGTTTTATTTAATTCTTCATATTGTGGTTTTTCCACCCTCATTGATATTGAATTTTCAATTTTGGTTTGTTAATTTCATGTCATTTCCAAATAATACTTGGAATTAAAGGAATTTTATACTGTTTATATTTTGGTGCTAATTTGTGTTTAAATTATATCACTTCAAATGGACATGTCAGTTTTTACTGAAATCACTTCAAGGAATATGTAATCTATCTTTCGTCCCTCTTTTCTACACAAAGACATTTATATGAAATTCAAGGAGTCAACTAAACTTAAAAAAAAAAAATGAATGCCAAACTATGTTTTAGGCAAAGGATACTTTACTCATTAACACTTTAACAAGTAAGCTTTATGTAGATGTATGATTTGATTAGAACAACCAATGTTAATTGAAGACCTGGTTGTTTTGTTTTTATTTCCAATTGCGAATACTTGGGGGAAAAAAAAGAAGAATTGCAAATAATACTGTCATCAAATCAGTTATTCAGAAATCACCTTTTATTAATGTTTTTATTCGATTGCAGTAACATTTTGACATAGTTTTGTACTTGTGTGGTGTTCATTGTGTATCTCTAGTCATGAAATTACATCTGAATTACTGTTTTAAAAATAGTAGACCATTCATCTTCAAGAACTCATATTAAAGTACCTAGTATTGTTTTATTTTTGTTTTTGTCAGTTAAACAACTGCCTCTTGTCAAAGAAATGACATTTGGAATGACTAGGTTGTAAAAGATACTGATTACAATTTTACTAAGATTATGTACATAAATTTATTAGTGATGTATTCAATTGAAATTTGATTTATGTATTATGAAGTTCTTGGTGATGTTTATGCATGTATAAACTGTTTTATGCTTGACTTTTATCTTATGTGTGCAATATTGTTATAATAACCACTAGAGAATTATATTTTTGTATTTATGAAATGATCTCTTTATCATATACCACTTCTTCATTGTTTTATGACTTGCATCAGAACCTTACAGACGAGGAACAAATGTAACAAATTATTATAATTGCCTATTGTCTCAGTGTACATGTATGTTTAAAATTACATATTATTGGTCTTCCTTCTGCCTGTATCACTCTGCTTGGCTCTCAAAAAAATTGAATGCCACAGCTCTGTGATGTCAAATACATTGATCCAGCCTTAATATCTTTGAACCAGACTTATTGTAGACGTTCATAAGTTTGACACAAACTGATCAAATCTTTTTAGCTGGTTTGCTGCTGAAACAAAGAAGACAAAACATGCAAATACAGTCAAAAAAAGGGTTATCAGATGTTTGTCATATTAATATTGTAAAATATCATCTGCTTGACACAATATGAAGCCTTTTTGAACTCATATGTTGGGCTCACTATATAAAGCCTTTTTGAACTCATATGTTGGGCTCACTTCATATTGTGATTCACAGCTGATATTTACATCACTAATATGCAGAACACCTGATTAATCAGTACCTTTAATGTAAAACTGGTTGTAATTTCAATCAGACAATATTAAAAAAATCATTATATCCATTCATTATAGATTCTGGTTGTATTCTCCACACATTTGTCATCAATACCAAATAATGAAGTGCTCATTATTTTTCATGTTAGTTTTAGATAACCTGATTATTAAATTTACACCAAGATATGGTTAACTCAAAAGAATAGATTTTCAATGATTCAGGAGGAACAATTTGATCTTATTTTATGGTCAAGTATAATAAATACAGGATATCCAATTACATTTAATGACATCTTAGTGTAAATACAAATACAATAGAATTATTTAAATAATGGATACATTTTCTGTGTAAAAACCTGAATAATTATTGAATGGAAATTTGCCTTGTTTTGTTTTCAAAATGATTTTTTTGTCTCAAATGTCTCACAAAAGGATTCTAATCCAGTGACGACATCAACTTTTTGTATAAAGCTTTATATTTAAGAAGGTAGAAGACTTCATATCTTGTATACAGATACCTCTTATCTCAAGTTTGTGTTGTTGATATGACAGTTGTCCTTGCCCTCATTTCACGGTTGAGTAACTGCTTAATAATCAAGTTTGTTACTATGTGATTTTTTTCACTTATTATGAGTGACAGGCCAACTATATTTGGTATATAGAATCATTGCAAGGTATCCATGTCAATCAGGCAGGTTTCATCTGACTTTAACCTCATTCTCATTGTCCACTGGTCAATGTTAAGTTTTCAATGCTGGGTCTGTTTCTCATATACTAAACACAATAGGTCAACTATAACTATATTTGGTGTATGGAATGGTTGTAAGGTGTACATGTCCATGTAGTATAGCAAATGTTAAGTTTCTGTGATACCTGTTATAAAACATTTTTCTTAAAGACATCATAAATTCAATCATGATCAATAAAGCAAGTGAAACAATTCAGTTTGAACACTTGTTTTTCTGACTAAATACTGAAAAGTCATGAAATATTGTTTTCAATGAAAATAGTGCAACCAATATAATAAAGAGTTTAATCTATATATTATATATATAGGTTCCATAGTGATAATATTAAAACAGAGAGAATTTAAATGATGTATAATTACACAGGAACTTTTTTATATTGCTGCTTAATGTTAAATGACTGTCTTCCATGAATATTTTGTTACAAAAAGGTACATTATAACAATTCAGTGCTGTTTTCATTAGACTATTTTCTCAATAATACATGTATACCTATTTTTCATGAATAAAAATTATATACAAAATTGATGCTTTTTTGTCAATAAATTATTGTTGGATTATGATTAGATATGCAAGATCATTTTGGGTTTTACTTATAATTCAAGATGACCACCATGCTAAGAGGTGTTGTTTCCATGGCGACGGTGTCAACAATTTGTTGAAGTTTGTGATAAGGTCAGTTTAAGGATGTACACCTCTGAGGAGCAAAAAATTTCAATAATTAAACTTTTTTTCTTAACCTGATTTTTGGGTTTATATGACTGTAAGAAAGTAAGTGATGAAGAAAAAATCATATGGTGGTTCACTTCTTTTTTTGCTACGGCCATTTGAAAGTACCCAATTTTTAATGATTTTCCCATATTTCATCAATTTTTACCCAATTTTGGGCTATTATCATGAAAAAAATCACAGTTTCACAATTAAACTTTTTTTCATACTTTCACTAAAGGTGAAGTGGACCAATCTGAATAAACTTATTTTAAAAAAACTATAGGTTGATGTTAATATTAGAAAGTTTTATAAAATGTTGTTGCTTTTTCGTGTCAAATTGACCATGCTGTCAGTTTTGTCAATTTGGGATTTTTCTCTATTTTTAGAAAAAAAAGCATATTATTTCAAATTCTTTGTTCTAATGATTGAACAAATACATATCTTTAAAAAGCAAAAATTGATATGGGATGTACATATTTTTGGTAAAATCATTTCTTTGTACCCCTCACCCATTTCCTCAACATTTTGGTTGAAAACACTGACTGGATTGGTTTTAAAATTTTAAAATTTTATTACTCAAAAACTACTTATTGTAAGTTTTAAAATTCATTGATATTTTCTACTTGTATCACATGTTTTGGAAATTATTCCCGAACGAGATTTCAACAAGACTGAAACATCAGAAGAATACATCCTTAGGTGAACAAGATATTTGGTATGCAGTTGTATTACTGTGGCACATCTCATTTACTATGTAATGATTGGTAGGGATGAGGAGCTAGAATAGATGACTTAAAAATTCCATATTAATTATAATTAAGATAAGGTTGCTGATTTTAAAATCTTAAGTACTATAATTTCACAAATTATTGCGTGCATTTATAATTGCGATTTTTGAAGAATGGACAAAAGTGCGAGATTAATTATTGCGATTTCTGGAAAAGTGCATACAGATATATGTATCAGATATCAGCATGATAGTTCTTATTATTGCAATGCTCACCCATTGGCATTATTCACATTAATAAAAACCTTGCAATAAATTCTGAATTTACAGTATCTATAAGTAATCAATTTCAATATTTTTACAGATGTGATTACAACACCCGGCTTCGATGCAACAGATAGTTGTCGTAACTTCATGATGGCTTTAGGTGTATTTCTTGTCAAAAAATATATATATGATAGAATATGTATTTTTGTTATTCATAATATATGGGAAAAAATGGAGAGCATATAGGAATTGATCTGTTGGTCCATAACAACGGGTATCTGGACAGTGACTTGAGTATTCTTTGCTTGATTGGAATGAAATTTATACAGATGAATGATATATGGAAGGAGAAGAATCCTATTGATATAAGGGTCAATGTGAAAAGCCTATTGAAGTTTGGGCCAATAAGTTAAAGGTCAAGGTCACTCTAACTAAAAATAGATTTTCTTTTTATACGACCGCAAAAAAATTTTTGTGGTCGTAAATTGGTATGACGTTGGCGTCGTCATCGTCATTGTCGTCGTCGTCCGGCGTTGTCCTGCATCGTCCGAAGACACATTGGTTTTCGCACTCTAACTTTAGTTTAAGTGAATGGATCTCTATGAAATTTTACCACAAGGTTCAATACCACAAAAGGAAGGTTGGGATTGATTTTGGGGGTTATGGTATCAACAGTAAAGGAATTAGGGGCCAAAAAGGGGCCAAAAATAACCATTTTTGTAACTTCCAGACATAACTTGTGTGTTAGTGTATGGATCTCTCTGACATTGTACCACAAGGTTCCATATCACAAAAGGAATGCTGCGATTGATTTTGGGGGTAATTGCCTCAAAATTTTAGGAATTAGGGGCCAAAAAAGGGGCAAAAAACAAGCATTTTTCTAGTTTCATGACAATAACTTGTGTGTAAGTGTATGGATCTTTCTGAAATTGTACTACAAGGTTCCATATCACAAAGGGAAAGCTGGAATTGAGTTTGGGGGTAATTGCCGAATCGTTTAGGAATTTGGGGCCAAAATAAGCATTTTTCTAGTTTCCAGACAATAACTTGTGTTCAAGTGTATGGATCTCTCTGAAATTGTACTGCAAGGTACCATACCACAAAGGGAAGGCTGGGATTGATGATGGGGTAATTGCCTCAATATTTTAGGAATTTGGGGCAAAAAACAAGCATTTTTCTAGTTTCAGGACAATAACTTGTGTGTAAGTGTATGGATCTTTCTGAAATTGTACTACAAGGTTCCATATCACAAAGGGAGAGCTGGGTTTGAGTTTGGGGGTAATTCCTAAACGTTTAGGAATTTGGGGCCAAAAAGGGGCCAAAAAACACATTTTTCTAGTTTCCAGACAATAACTTGTGTTCAAGTGTATGGATCTCTCTGAAATTGTACTGCAAGGTACCATACCACAAAGGGAAGGCTGGGATTGAGTTTGGGAGTGATGAATCATAAGGGGGTTCAAAAATTTGGGGGGGGGGGGGGGATTTTTTTTTTTGCCTTTTTTTTCTTTTTTTCCTTTTTTTTTTCTTTTAAAATTTTCCATTTTAAGTTGGTTATTTCTGATTTATATTTAAAAGCAAATAATAATGATATGGTAGGAGATACACACCAAACAGGATGTGTAAATTATTATATAATAAGTATTGTGCAATAGCAAGAAATTTTCAATTGCACAATAGCAAGAAATCTTCAATTGCACAGTATTGCGCAATAGCAAGAAATATCCAATAGCACAATATTGCGCAATAGCAAGAAATTGTCAATTGTACAGTATTGCGCAATAACAAGAAATATTTAATTGCACAGTATTGTGCAAAAGAAGATACTTCGTATTAATTGTTTATTTCTTGACCAATTTCAATGGGGTTTTATTCTTGAATTCTTGGGGTTCTTTAATATGCTGAATCTAACTGTGTATATAGTTTTTGGATTTTGGGCCCCGTTTTTAAATTGGTCCACATTGAGGTCCAAAGGGTCCAAAATTAAACTTTGTTTGATTTCATCAAAAATTGAATTATTGGGGTTCTTTGATATGCCGAATCTAACCGTGTATTTAGATTCTTAATTTTTGGTTCCGTTTTCAAATTGGTCTACATTAAGGTCCAAAGGGTCCAAAATTAAACTTAGTTTGATTTTAACAAAAATTGAATTCTTAGGGTTCTTTGATATGCTGAATCTAAACATGTATTTAGATTTTTGATTATGGGCCCAGTTTTCAAGTTGGTCCAAATCGGGGTCCAAAATTAAACTTTGTTTGATTTCAACAAAAATTGAATATATGGGGTTCTTTGATATGCTGAATCTAACCATGTATTTAGATTTTTGATTTTTGGGCCCCGTTATCAACTTTGTCCACATTGAGGTCAAAAGGGTCCAAAATTAAACTTTGTTTGATTTCATCAAAAATTGAATTCTTGGGGTTCTTTGATATGCTGAATCTAACCATGTATTTAGATTTTGGATATTGGACCATAATAGGTGAATGTCCAATTTAAAATTTTTAAGTTCTTAGACCACATTCATTCTGTGTAAGAAACCTATGCTGTGTCAAATATTTAATCACAATCCAAATGCAAAGCTGTATCAAGCTTGAATGTTGTGTCCATACTTGCCCCAACTGTTCAGGGTTCGACCTCTGCGGTCGTATCAAGCTGCGCCCTGCGGAGCATTTTATTTTTAGTTGGTTTCAGGATGGTATCACACTATGAATTATAACACATTTATACAGGTAAAAAATTATCAATAAAAGTACATGTTAAGCAGACTTCATGGTTTCAGAGAAGATTTTTGTAAAAGTTTACAACAGAAGATGATGCAGTGTGATTGAATAAGCTGACATGGCCCTTAGGGCTACTCAATACTGATTATGCTTTTCTCATTTTCATCAAACATTACATACATGTTACTGTTAGTCATGATGAGAGGAGGAAAGTTTTTGATTTTTGAGGTACACAATGAAATCAATACATAAAGGAGTAGGGCAATAAGGCCATTGTTTGGTCCAAATATCAGTGCAAATTAAAAAGTTACTATGCATGATCTTAAATTTGTCCAAACTATACCAAGGTACCAGATGTCTGGAAAATTTAAACAAATTCACATTTAATGAGTTACCATTACAAAATGTGTATATTTTTTAGAATTTCTTGATTTTCCTTGTTTTACATCAATCTTTTAGTATATTCTGGATTGGGAAAGTTTGTGTTCACCAAGAAACAACTTTATATTTGGTGAGATGATGTCAATAGTTATGAAAAAGCTTCTCTCAAATTATTGTGTTGTTTCTTGGCTGCACACAGCATTTACACAAAAGAAATATGAATGTAATACTGCATAATTCAACAGTTTTTTTTCATTTTCATAAAAAAGTCCCATAAGATGACATAATTGTGACATCATACCTTTAAAGGTCTTTTGTAAATCATTTATATTTCTTGATTCTATGCACTTCCAAACATTTGTTGCAAATTTGATAAGGTTCTGAAAAACTTTGTTTTCATGGGCCAAAAACAGGCCTCAATGCCCCTACTTCTTAGCCATATTAGGAAAGGAAACAGTCATTCAAACAGTTGTGGTGTTATAAGGGAATAATCTGCTTTGAAGTGCCATTATTTAATATGTATAGATGTGGGGTAATGTCAATCAGGAAATAGTCATCTGAATATCTGCATATAGTGGTCAAGTAAACAACAAAGTATGGCAATCCCTCTTTCCCCTCTTGTCTTCATAACTAATCCCTCTGTCCCCTCTTGTCTTCATAACTAATCCCTCTATCCCCTCTTGTCTTCATAACTAATCCCTCTGTCCCCTCTCGTCTTCATAACTAATCCCTCTGTCCCCTTGTCTTCATAACTAATCCCTCTATCCCCTCTTGTCTTCATAACTAATCCCTCTGTCCCCTCTTGTCTTCATAACTAATCCCTCTGTCCCCTCTTGTCTTCATAACTTGTGAAGCTAGTCAACAAAAAGACTGAAGATCTGACACTAAATTCAAAATAGCCAGATTTCTTGGTTTTTATGTGCATATTGTGATTTAAATGTAATGAGTTGATACACCTCGTCTCTTTTTTTTCATTATATTAGCAGTTTGTCTCTTGTGCTGAGTGAAGGCCAGAAAAGTATCATTTCCTAACGGTGTATTGTTTTGTATAGTTTCCCTGCAGCTGCATTCTTCAATGTACAGATGAGTGTGATTGACATCAAGCAAAGTATTCCACTCAAATGGGTGCTAGGGGCCATTGCGAACTTTCAGTGAGGTGAGAGCTTTTACTACTTGTTGTTGCGAAAGAAATGTAAGTTTTCCAAAGAATCATTTGTAGCTTACCTGTCGATTTAAACTTTTGTAAGTTCTTTTGTCCCATTGAATAAATACAATAGATTTTGTTCTCTGTGTATATTCACTGGAACATTTAAATTTTTGCTAAGAAAAATCTATCACTCATTGATTAATTTACCTGAAGAAATAAATTACCTCCTAAGCAGATGAAAATACATGTATCAAATCACAAAACTGCATCTGATGTTGTATTTATTCAATATCAATAAAATATTTTCAATCTGTTCAATATAAACAATGATTGAAACATTAAAAGTTGATTTCTGACAAAATTTTCAACATTGTTCCTATTGGAATTCTTTTTTGTGTTTTCAAATAAATACTGGCAATGATAATGTTTAAATCTTATAGCTATTGTTCTCTGTGTAGTGTATTCACTAGAATATTTAAATTTCTTCAAAGAGAAAACCATCACTAATTGAATAATTTACCTGCTTTTGCTTTTTTCATGTACGTGTAGTGATTAGTGTAATGAATTGATAATCTAACTCCACTCTTTTCCGTTATATTTGCAGAGTTCTAAAGCTGTCAGGAGCCATAAAAATATATCCTGTGCTCAAGGTGTATGCTCTTATATTTTTTCAGTTGTACATATTTATTGTTGAACTTACTTCTCTTATGTGAACTACTTCATTTTGCTGGTTTTAGCCAGTTTGTTTATTTTAAATTGTTATGCAGTTTACTTGTATTATTTGCCTTATTCATATGTAATTTCTTGCAAAGTTATCTTGCATATCTTGATGAGCTCATGGTTATCTAAATGTTTGTATTGTTTATGTATTCTAGAGTGATATTGTCTTGCTTGTATGACAGTATTTGTTAGATTTCTTTGCCAGATATAATTTATAAATAGAAGATTTTATCCCACAGCTGTGGTCATCATGCATCTGTGTAGTATGATCGATATCTAGTAAAGAATTCCCCTGTAACTGGTGCTGTTCTTGCAGCAAGGTGAGAGGTTTTGCCACCTATTGAAGACCCCACTGTGACTTTGAGATGAAGAAGAACAATAAAAGAGCTGTTCCTTTTCTTTTCTTTTTTATGTGCCAGTAGTTATTTTGAGTCATGAATTTCCATATCCTCAGTTTTACAACTGTTATTTTTTTTGAGATAAAACAAATCTATTTTTACATTTATTAATGAGATGGTTTAAACATCATTACAAGACATTAACAATGAAAAGCACTGACAACGTTTAGCACCACATATTCAAAAAGCTGAAAACTAAAAACTGACTAGACTTCCACACAGATCTATCTTCCATAGTAATACTTAACACATTTATCTAATGGATTTCGGATATCCCCCCCTCCCCTACTTATCAGTATAAAATATACCCGTTATAATTCATATACTCTTCATAAAAATGCAAATATTTAAAAAAAAAAAAAAAAAAAAACACTGGTGATACAAAAGTTTCAGTTTGAATAGACAAATCTATCAGTTTGTTTAGTTAGTACTGAATTCCTTATTTAAATGAACTACTTTTATAGTGAAATCTTCACCCATAGGTAAAATGAGACACTTTAAATGTTGTATTTCTTATTAATTAGTTCAACTTTCTGCAATCAAATACAGTACCTAATCAGGAAATTTTATTATTGTAACAATTTTCTGCCCAAACGTACTGTATAGAGGTCTAAAAAAATTGTTTACAAAATGCCAATCTTAAATTCCATATGGCAGAATACTAAATTATAATAGAATAGAATGTAGTTATATAATTTGATGAAGCTTATAATACTTTCATTTCTGTTTATGTTATAGAAATCTTTACAAAAGGACTTTTCTTACACAATATTTTGACCTTGATATTTCTGGTATTATTTAAGTATAGAGTTTCAGAATCTATAATTGATAAAAAAAATCTTGTTCATGTTGGAAAAAATAGTGGAATGATAAAAATAAAGAAAATGAAGGAAGAAATGTCAGGCGTAACACAAAATTGGAAGAATGGATTTTCTGTTCACATATACTATATAAAAATATTTAAAATAAAAAAGTGTTCATAACAAATCAAAAGCTACATTAAAATTGCAATTTTCTAATTTAATGCGAGAAATTGCACAATTAAAATGGATTTAAATAAATAGTAAAATGGATATATACACTGAATTCTATACAGTACAATAATACACTCATTTAAAACAAATAATAAAATACAACTTTATACTGCCTTTTAAGCTGAATGAGAATTACAATTTTATTCAAGTTATGTAGTAAATATACAAGTAAGTAAAATTTTGCTTGTAACATGACTTCAATTAAGTCTATAAATACACTAACAACAAATAGGAGTAACTGATTGTATCAGTACTTTTAAAGTTTTCATATCCAAAATTGTTTATGTACTTCAATAACACAAAATTTCTGCAATCATTTGCAAAAATGATATTGAATCCTGAAAATGTGATTGACAATTAATTCCAGCACAAAACCTTACATTGTGACCCATTTCAAATTTTGATAATTTGTACAGTATCTGAAAAAAAAGATACAAAATCCTATAAAGTATACCCGCAACATTAATCTTTATCTAACAATAAAAAATCCAACAGAAAATATTAGCGCAAGAATAAGTTATAATGTTTTTCCAGATGAAATTTCAAACAATGACAAATTATTTTATTTCCCTAATGTGATATGAAAGAAATGTTATGTATTTACTCATGTTTTGCAATATCTTGTCCCATGTTAAGTACATGATCAAGTTTCAATAAATTATTCTATGGGTTTTATGATAATTCTTTGATTTAATTTTTTAACAAGGACGATTATGTAGTAATGCTATTTTTATATTGCACAAAAAAATTATGATAATGAAATAGTTTATATATAAAATGTATAAGCTTATAACAAATTCTGACCAAAATAATAAATAATAAAAAAGTTCTAACAATATCATACTATAAAATGTATATAAACACTAACAACAATAACAACGATAAAATCTCTGCAGGCAATGTTCTAATATTGTCAAACTTATTGATGGAATTCGTTTTGCAAATTCTGAGACCCAATATCACAAATAGGTCTTAATTTAGATAACACAAAATAATGACAAATTCAATCATTTTAATAAAGAATGGAAAAATTCCAACTTCTTTTGTTTTCTACTGATAACAAACACACAACACCATGGATCAGTTTACACATTTTTTTCTTTTTTTTCCAGCTGAACTCTAAACTGGTAGCTGTACAATATTTGTTTTGGTAATCTATAGATAGGCTCTGATTGACACAATTTCAGAAATTCCTTCATAAATCTGCCAAATTCAACTAGTTATACTGACCGCTTGACCTCAGAAAAAGTTGTTTTCTGAACAATTTCTTTTAGCATTACTCGATTCATCACTACAATCCAGTAAGGATCAGACTTGTTTGTGCCACATGTTTTAATTTGGTTAGCTAAATAGGAAAATCTGACCAAGGGAAATAACTCAAATTACATATCAAAATCAATATATAAGTAGATGGTGCCTATGGTATTGTGGTATACTCATTAATTAACCTATACATTTTATAATTACTAAATGGTCTTAAATCGTCATTTAAAATAGTTCCATATAGAGTTTTGTTTCCACAGATATAATTTGGGTAAGCACTCTGGTCTTGAAATTGATAAAACAAATTTAATCAACTAAGAAAAACAATATTAACATTTTCATTAGTCACTTCAATAAAAATTTTGATAATCAAAATATTAAGTGTGAACATATAAGAAGTATACATTTTAACTTGAAATACTCATAGACAACCTTTTCTGTGACAACCTATAAACTTAACCACAGCAAGACAATTCTTACCATGTAAATTTTTCTATAATATTTGGCATTGATATTAGTCTGGGACTATTTTAAAGTACCATTAATATAACACATTTATACACTAAGTAAAAACATTGTAATTGTGTTGATGACATTGTTGTCCTTATAGGATAATGTTTACACATTGTAACATTCTAATAGCTGCTCCATAAGAACTGAACACAATAAATTAAAAAAACATACCTCATCTTGTTTATCTATACAAATACACTTATAATTTGAATATAACTCAAAAATAAATGCTATTAATACATGCCCTAGATATTGCACAATTTGTTGTTGGCCTCTGTCCCATATTTATGGTTACTACATTTATAAAACCTTCATGAAAGATAATACAAGATTAATCACCGTTTAAGGAATTTCGAAAATGATGTGGCAATCAGCAGATCAAAATTTGAATTCAATACTATTAGATATTAATTATGTTAATTTTTTATTGTAGGATCACAGTTCGAAAAGGTGGCTATTGTAAATAGTAAAATACATTTCTTTGACAGAAAGAATTTTCCTTTGGAGTTTGAGGAAAATTAATAATGTTGTGAAGTTAAATAAAATCTTGTATTTTTTCTATAAACCAACAATTAAGAAAAGTAAACTGTCAATGATGACTTTTGTTCATTAAGAAAAATCAGTGAAATAAGATTCATAGTCCATAAAAACAACTGTTATCACAGAGATATGTCTCACCTGTGTTACTTAATTATAAAGTTTAACAACTATTGATGTCGTCAATACTGGAAACAGCACTCCACAAGTCTCGCTTCATCTGCTATCTCTGTGGGCAATACAATTATACCAGTAAAGCAATGTATACTACTGAACCTCAATTTATCAAGGATGCTTTTAAAACTACAACTGATATTATTAGAAGTTAATAAAATTTAACTATACACTGGTTGTTGTAGAAGACTTGCATTCTATGACTATATTTTGACTGTTAACACGTAACAGCTTATTACGTGTATTTCTAAGTACCCTGTGACCACAGAATTGAGACAATTATCAAGGTGTTTCTTGTTTTAATTTCTTTATTGTATTTTTTAAAGCTTGTCTTTTGTTACAGAACCAGACACGAATCACTTCTCGATCATAGTTAAGTTTTTCTGACAGCTCAGTCATCTCAGCACCTGAAAATAAAAAAAGAAATGAGTAAATTATCCATTTGAGTTTAAGTAGTAAACAATCCTGGAAGAAAACTTTCACTAAATATTTCATCATATGATTGTAATACTCAAGTTTAAATGTTTCTGACAAATTAAATATGTCTGTACAAATTGAAGTTGAAAAAATGAAAACATTTAAGTTGTTATATTCATATCCATATGAATTTTAAAATTGTTTGTTGTAAAATCTCAATTGAGTAATACAAATATTTGAGTAGTCCAACCAACAGTTTTGATATAGAGTGCCAATTATGAGTCTAATGTAGAAACACATGTCTGGTGTAACAAATTATAAGCCTGCTATATCTTATGAGTTTTTTAGTTTGTTTGATTTTTTTTTATCTATGTAGAAACTTTAAAACTCAAGGGCTCCAGAATATCAGATTGTATGTTCCATCAAACACTACATTTGTTATATCAATTTGACTGTTGTTAGAACCATACATCCTTCAGTAAGAATAAATCACAATCTATATCCCAAACAGCATCAATAAGCACATTAAAAAACATTGCCTTGTACATTAACTGAAACGTACCTGATGGATGTGTGTTTATTTCAAAGAAATTATTTAATACTTCTAACGCAGCTGGTGTAAAGGATGTCCGTCGTTTGCGTTTCTTTGATGGTTCACTACCTATAAAATCTGTTAAATTATTGACACCGTTTCTATATCGTTCCTCAGCTTCCATCATCCACCTCTCTAAAACAGGTTTTATTTTCTGTGCACTTTTTGGTGTAATGTCTAATTTTTCAAATCTGGAAGAAAAAATGCTAGTTTTTATAATCAGTTCAATGGTTACACTAACTCTTTACACTAAATCTGTTGGATGTGTACTGATTAATACTTAAGTCTAAAAGACATGATTTATTCATTAGTAGTCATTGGCTTTGAACTAGCTTACAGTGATTGGGAGTATTCTTAGATCAGCCTTTTGTCTTTATTTTATTTGTTTTTGTGCATATTACCAATCTGATGAGTCAAAGCCATTTCCAACTGATTTTTACAGTTTGTTCTTATGTTGTGCTGTTGCATTACTGTCCCAAGTAAGCGGAATGGTTGAGTGCTCACAAATATGTTTAACCCCACCACATTCTCTATGTGCTCGTCCCTAGTCATGAGCCTGTAATTCAGTGGTTGTTGTTATTCACCATCTATGATTTGTTTTTTGTTTATTGTTTTAGAATCAGGCTGTTGGTTTTACAGTCAGAGCTCTGACATAAACAAGTCAGAATAAAATGACTTCTTCAAGTCAGAAAGTGTTTTGAAATTCTGACCTGTACGCGTCAATTTTTGTTTTGCGTAGTTTTCACTCGAGTCCGTCAAACCAGAAGTTATTTTGAATTTGCCACCGATCTACGACACATACGATCACGTGGTTTTTTGCAAGAGATCACGTGTTTGAGAGTCGTTGTTTTGGAAGTGTCTCGAACGAGAAGTCATTGAATATTATATTGATTATTTACGATTTTTAGTGAAAATCTAGGTCATTGTGGGCATTTTTAGAAAGGTAATTCATATTACCTCCGTATTTTCATGGGCATTTTTATATTTTTTGCCTATAAAGAAGTTCCTTGCAAGTGATTTTTTTGCTGTTGCATGAAGGCGCGCGACCTGTAAATACGGACGCGTGGTCTTTTAGATGACCTGGTGTTTGACAATTCTGACTTGTTCAGGTCAGAAAATGTTGTTATGATAATGAATTGTTATTTTCGGGAGATAACTCGTGTTGTCTTAAACAATATTAACATTATTAACCAGTCAGTGCAATTTAAAAAGTAAAATTATTGCTTCGAGCTGAACATCGTCACGTGATTTTTCTATTTTTAAACTCAATCACGAACTGATTTTTTAACCTTTCTGATTCGTTTCTCCCTATGAGAAAAACGATCATTGTGAATACTGATATGATGATAATGAAACGAAAATGGGAAAAATTTTGATAAAAGAAAAAAGAAGGGAGGGGTTTAACTAAAGAACCCAAGGTTTTTTTTTTTATTTTTAAAGTTATAACTTTAGAACAATAAGTGATGCACACACCTGGTCTTCATTTATGATCATGGGACATGATAAAACAAATCAAATGAAATGTAGGGCAAGTCTCCAGGGATCACCCCTATCCCTGTCATTTCTCTATTCCTCTTTATAATGTCAAATTGATTTGAATGAAATATACAGGGCTAGTCTCCAGGTTTACCCCCACCCCCTGCCATTTGCAAATGTTCTTATATTTTGTAAACGGTAGAGATCCCCACCCCTAAACCATATATATTCTTGTATGGGACAATTTAACAAATCAAATGATATGTTGGGGAGGTCCCTGGGGGTCACCCCTACCCCTCCTGTTTGAAAACTTGTAAACGGTCGAGATCCCCACCCCTAAACCATATATTTTCTTGAATAGGACAATAAAACAAATCAAATGAAGTATAGGGGAAGTACCTTGGGGTCACCCCCACCCCCTCCTGTGTGAAAACTTGTAAACGGTCGGGATCCCCACCCCTTAACCATATATATTCTTGTAAGGGTCAATAAGACAAATCAAATGAAATAAAGGTGGAGTCCCTGAGGGTCACCCCACCCCCTCATGTTTGAAAACTTGTAAACGGTCGAGATCGCCACCCCTACACCATATACATTCTTGCACAGGACAATAAAACAAATCAAATGAAATATAGGGGAAGTCCATTGGGGTCATCCCCATCCCCCTTTTTGAAATGTTCTGGATCACCACCCCTAAAGGTAAACCATATGATATTCCTGTTCGTCATTTCAAGAAGATTTGAATGACATGCAGGGTCAAACCCTAGGCGTCACTTATGCATATCACTTTACTAGACAAAACCAATTTGTACTGGAACTTGCCCAATGTCAGGCAACCATGGGAATGACGAATTATGGGAGCTTAAATTTGTTTGGGAGACTTCGTAACAGCATCCTGTTACAATTATTTCTTGTCTATTTTAATCTGCTGAGAGACCACCTTTACATATTATATTTATCAGTGTTTGTGCAAACAGAATTGTCTATTCAGTAATATATTCCTCTCACATGCATCACATCTTATTAATTACATGGATATAGGAAGATGTGGTATGAGTGCCAATGAGACAACACTCCATCCAAGTTACAATTTATAAAAGTAAACCATTATAGGTCAAGGTACGGCCTTCAACACGGAGCATTGGCTCACACCGAACAGCAAGCTATAATTGAATTTGAAACTTTTGCATAGATCAGTTTAAGGGGAACCACTTATGGTAAGTCTTTGATATTTCGTATGCAGTTATATAAGCATTGGCATATCACATTTCCATGAAGCTGTCCATGTCTCCTCAGTCATGTTCTATTGACTTTGAATCTTTTGACGAGGGGGTGTTCTAACGACCTTGACTACCCACGAGGGTCTCGCACGGTCGTATAAGGGCCTCAAAAAATTACTAGTGTAAAACCATTCAAACGGAAAAACCAACGGTCTAATCTATATGAAAAAAAAAAAAATTTTTGGCATATTTGTTTTCCTCTGAAATTACACATCTATAATTCTTACCCCAGATGCTTAGCCACATGAAGCATTTACCTCTTATTTGAGACATAGATAGTCTTTGTTTCTACAGAAGTGAGAAGAACATTGGAAGTCAGAATGTTCTGACTTATAAAAGTCTGAATACTCTGACTTATAAAAGTCTGAATACTCTGACTTATAAAAGTCTGAATGTTCTGACTTATAAAAGTCTGAATGTTCTGACTTAATAAGGTCAGAAAGACTCAGAATGATCTGAAAATACTGACTTTTTTTAATGTTTAGAGTATTTTAGAATATGAATGCACTTGTCATGCTAGTACCATAAGAAACCCTGACAAGATTTTGTTCCCAAACAACAATTTTTAAAGATATTAAGAATAACAAGTGTACAATGGAACATAAATTACAAAGTTATAAGTGTTGTGAAAAAAGCTATTTAAAAAAAAATCAATAGATAGTTATCTTTCAACTTTTACATGTATTTAAAAAACAGTGAAAATATTATGGATTATATGTACGGCTTCTTGAAGGACAACAAAGTCACCATATTTGGTCTGAATTTGTGTGTTTTTTCTCCTCAAATTTTTTTTAACATTATTAATGTCGGCTTTTTTCTTAACTAATTTTAAACATTCTTAATTATAATTAAATTTCCCCAACATTTGCTTACAAACTCTTTAATTTCTAAAGTCAAATTGAAAGTTGTCTTCACAGATTCAATGTGTCTGAAAATGTTATATTGAAAAAACAATACTTTTATATCCTCAAATAAAATGGGTATACCATGAGTTTAATGGTCATGCAGATATGCAATCCAGGATGTTAACAATCAGAGTTTAGATTACAGTCATATAGTAATAGGCAGAGTTTTTCTTATATAATCAATAACCAGAGTAAAGATAATTGATTAATAGAGGTTTAGTTTAATATAAGTAATAAACAAAGCTAATTAATACACTTGCAATAACATACATGTAGTTAAATTAGTAAATACAGAATATTCATAAAAAATTCAGACAGAAATACTGTAATAGGTCAAGTCATTAGGGACGACATCAAAAGTTCAATATAGGATAAAAAACTTAATTCACATCACATAGTTTTTTCACTGACCAACCCACCCCCCTCTTAACTTAATTTGGGAAAGATTGATTGACCAATATGGATTTATGTAAAATCGATTTTGGATAAACAAAACTTGCAGCAACTTTAACCCCACCCCCACCCCCAAACTATTTGATTTAAGTTTTTTTTATCCTACATTGGTCTTTTGATGGCGTCCCTTAAAATGTGCTGACTTTGTACATGTTGTAGTGATAGTTATGGCACCCATACAACATATAGGAATCAGTCAAAAGGAGAGAAAAATTCCCGAAATTTGTCACATAGTGACATTTGTGAGTCGGAATAACAAAATATAGACTCATTAATCTCTCCATCTTTTAAAAAATTATGAACCAGATTTTATGCATATCCATTTAGTTTTTGACGGACTCTTTTAAGTCAGAACATGATTTGACCTGTTTGAGTCAATTTGCAGAACAAAATTTCAATCAAAGCTATGTGTTCTTCCTCTTAGCCCCCTTCTGAATCTGCCACTGTTGAGTTTATTAATTGATTTTTCCATACATTATCATTAATATCAAATGGAAATGCCTGACTTAATAATTTCAATAAATTTTGTTTTTGACTGATTTTTTAAAGTCAGAACATGACTTGACCTGTTTAAGTCAATTTGTAGAACAAAATTTCCAATCAAAGCTAGGTGTACTTCCTTTAAGCCCTGCAATGCCCGGCTTAAATATTTCAATAAATTTATTTTAGTTTTGGACTGACTCTTTTAGGTCAGAACATGATTTGACCTGTTTAAAACAAAATACATTTAATATTGAATATACCAAATAAACTTTTTTATTGTCCTCATTATTGTGACTTATGGGGACTTTATTCTCTCTGTCTTTTATCTGGCTCACCCATACATTTTTAAATCAATATGACAATACTATACTTAAAAATTGTAATAAGTTTAGTTTTGTTTGACTCTTTGAAGTCAGAACATGATTTGACCTGTTAAAGTCAGTTTACAGAACAAAATTTCCAATCAAAGCTAGGTGTACTTCCTTTAAGCCCTGCTTCTGAATCTGCCATTTTCGAGTTTATTATTTGATAAGTTTTTAGAAACAATTAAGTCAAATGGTTATTTATTTTAGGGGATCTTACATATATTTCCTGTGTCTTTTATCTGACGTTCCCATACATTCATTAAATAACATATGGCAATGACCAGCTTATATATTTCAATAAATTTATTTTAGTTTTGGACTGACTCTTTTAAGTCAGAACATGATTTGACCTGTTTAAAACAAAATACATTTAATATTGAATATACCAAGTAAACTTTTTTATAGTCCTCATTATTGTGCCTTATGGCTACCTTATTTCCTCTGTCTTTTATCTGGCTCACCTATATATTTTTAAATCAATATGACAATACTAGACTTAAAAGTTGTAATAAGTTAAGTTTTGTTTGACTCTTTGAAGTCAGAACATGATTTGACCTGTTAAAGTCAGTTTACAGAACAAAATTTCCAATCAAAACTGGTCTTTTCCTCTAAGCCCCCCCCCCCCCCCCCTAATCTGAATCTGCTACTGTTGAGTTAATTAATTGATAAGTTTGTTTAGAAACAATTCAGTCAAATGGTTTTAAAATAATATTTTTTATAACCAAAAGTTCCATATGTTAACTTAACAGAAAAAAAAGTCATAAAAATGCAGAAATAGAATAAAAATTTAAGATAATTTGATGAAATTTGTAAACAAAATACATTTGAATATTAAATATACCAAATAAACTTTTTTATAGTCCTCATTATTGTGACTTTATTATTGGGTGTCTTTTATCTGATTTTCCCATACATTCTTAAATGCATATGACAATTCCAGACTTAAAAGTTGCAATAATTAGTAAAAGTATAGTTTTTGACTGACTCTTTGAAGTCAGAACATAATGTGACTTGTTCAAGTCAGTTTGCACAACAGGATTTACCTCAATGAAATATTAAGATATCAAATATATATACCAAATTAACTTTTATATAGTTCTAAAAATTGTGACTTAATATTTGTGATCTTTTTTCCTACTTGTATCCATACATTCTAACAATCACATCACAATCATGACAATGCCCGACTGTTACAGTTGCAATCCATTTAGTGTTTGACAGACTCTTATAAGTCAGAACATGATTTGACCTGCTTGAGTCAGTTTACAGAACACAATTTCCAATCAAAGCTATGTGTTCTTCCTCTTAGTCCCCTTCTGAATCTGCCACTGTTGAGTTTATTAATTGATAAGTTTTAAGAAACAATTAAGTCAAATGGTTATTTATCTTAGAGGATCTTGCATGTATTTCGTGTGTATTTTATCTGACTTTTCCATACATATCATTAATATCATATGGCAATGCCTGACTTAAAAATTTTAATAAATTTAGTTTTTGACTGATATTTTTAAGTCAGAACATGATTTGACCTGTTTAAGTCAATTTGTCAGAACATAATTTGACCTGTTCAAGTCAGTTTGCAGAACAAAATTTCCAATTAAAGCTAGGTGTACTTCCTTTAAGCCCTGCTTCTGAATCTGCCATTTTTGAGTTTATTATTTGATAAATTTTTAGAAACAATTAAGTCAAATAGTTATTTATTTTAGGGGATCTTACATATATTTCCTATGTCTTTTATCTGACGTTCTCATACATTCATTAATATCATATGGAAGTGTCCAACTTTAAAATTTCAATAAACTTAGTTTTGGACTGACTGTTTTAAGTCAGAACATGATTTGACCTGTTTAAAACAAAATACATTTAATATTGAATATACCAAATAAACTTTTTTATAGTCCTCATTATTGTGACTTTAGGGGACCTTATTTCCTCTGTCTTTTATCTGGCTTTCCCATACATTTTTAAATCAATACGACAATACTAGACTTAAAAGTTGTATTAATAAGTTTAGTTTTGACTGACTCTTTGAAAGCAGAACATGATTTGACCTGTTAAAGTCAGTTTACAGAACAAAATTTCCAAACAAAGCTAGGTGTTCTTCCTCTAAGCCCCCCCCCCTAAATATGAATCTGCTACTGTTGAGTTAATTAATTGATAAGTTTTTTTAGAAACAATTCAGCCAAATGGTTATTAAAATTTTATTTTTTTTGGCAACCACAAGTTCTATGTGTAAACTTAACAGAAAAGAAAAGTCATGAAAATACAGAAATAAAATAAAATTTTATTATAATAAGATAATTTGATGAAAATCTTTAAAAACAAAATGCATTTGATATTGAATATACCAAATAAACTTTTTTATAGTCCTCATTATTGTGACGTAAGGGGACCTTATTTCATCTGGCTTTTATCTGGCTTTCCCATACATTTTAAAATCAATATGAAAAACCTAGACTTAAAAGTTGAAATAAGTTTAGTTTTGTTTGACTCTTTGAAGTCAGAACATGATTTGACCTGTTAAAGTCAGTTTACAGAACAAAATTTCCAATCAAAACTAGGTCTTCTTCCTCTAAGCCCCCCCCCCTCATTATTGTGACTTTATTATTGGGTGTCTTTTATCTGTTTTCCCCATACATTATTAAATGCATATGACAATGCCAGACTTAGAAGTTGCAATAATTAGTTAAAGTATAGTTTTTGACTGACTCTTTGAAGTCAGAACATAATTTGACCTGTTTAAAACAAAATACATTTAAATATTGAATACACCAAATAAACTTTTTTATATAATCCTCATTATTGTGACTTTAGGGGACCTTATTTCCTCTGTTTTTTATTTGGCTCTCCCATACATTTTTAAATCAATATGACAATACTAGACTTAAAAGTTGTAATAAGTTTAGTTTTGACTGACTCTTTGAGGTCAGAACATGATTTGACCTGTTAAAGTCAGTTTACAGAACAAAATTTCCAATCAAAGCTAGGTGTACTTCCTTTAATCCAAGAAAGTCCTTGCTTTCAGACTGCTTCTGAATCTGCCATTTTCGAGTTTATTATTTGATAAATTTTTAGAAACAATTAAGTCAAATGGTTATTTATTTTAGGGGATCTTAACATATATTTCCTGTGTCTTTTATCTGACGTTCCCATACATTCATTTAATATCATATGGCAATGCCCGGCTTAAATATTTCAATAAATTTATTTTAGTTTTGGACTGACTCTTTTAAGTCAGAAAATACATTTAATATTGAATATACATTTAATATTGAATATACCAAATAAACTTTTTTATAGTCCTCATTATGGTGACTTATGGGGACCTAATTTCCTCAGTCTTTTATCTGGCTTACCTATACATTTTTAAATCAATATGACAATACTAGACTTAAAAGTTGTAATACATTTAGTAAGTCAGAACATAATGTGACTTGTTTGAGTCAGTTTGCACAACAGTATTTACCTCAATGAAATATTAAAATAATAAATGTTTTGCTCTTAATACATTTAGCTTAAAGTGGATGAGAATATATCTTTTATTAACATAGTCTTATCCTGAATAAGTGTCTTGTTTTTCCTTGGAAGATTTGAAGTATTGTCATGTAATGTATCCAATATTGTATTTTGTAAATCTTTTGATATTCAGAAAATTGTATGATCCTTTTTTTCTCACCTGGTTTTTCTTTGTATTTTGAAATAATTGAAAGTGATGAGATAAATATATTATGTTTAGATTCTGGAAAGGAGAAGGTATGATGTCAGATGAGCCCCACTTTTTAAAACTCTTTAATTCGAAACTAGTAATCACCATATTTTTATGGAGATTGATAACAAAGTGGTAGTAATGACTGCTTCAAATCAGAACAAAAATGACCTCTCGAAGTCAAAATGCATTAAAAAGGGGCATAAATCTTATTAGAATATGAAGATATTAAGTCACAATATTTTGTGCAAAATCTGACCTGTGGAAGTCATTTTATGATAAATTAAAGTCTGACATAAACTGACCAGTACAAGTCATATTCTGTTGAGTGCAAGAAGGGAGACAACACTTACATCAAATTATATCTGACCTATGGAAGTCATTTTATTCTGACTTGTTTATGTCAGAGCTCTGACTGTTTTAAGTTATAAATTGTTTGACATTTTGTCATGCCAGGGTCTTTTAATGCCTCATTGCAGTCATACCATGATTCCCTATCATTTACATATACCCAATATATCCTTTTTATTTTATTTATACACATTTTATTCATATATTCAAAGCATGTTCCTCATTACACATGTTTACCTGCAAATGGCTGACTGACTGTATGCAGGTCCTTCTGTAGCACTCAATGCCTGACCAACTTGTGTCTGCGTTAATCCTAACGATAACCTTCGGATTTTAAATTGTTTGGCAAATTCTTTAATTTCATCAAGGTTAATACCATCTACTGTTGTACTCTCAGTAGAGTTACCTACAGTATCTGAAATATTTAAATGTACACATCAAGAGGTAAATTACAGATATGTTCCACTAGTTCTAACCACAATCCTGTCCTCTTTTTCTAGATTGTGGCATTTAGGGTTGCCACTTATCACTGTACTGTTACAATCAATGGATGGCATTAGTCACACAGGAACTGCTGACCCTTCCAGAGCACTGGTGGGGTTCCTATTGTTCAATCTTTAGTTTTCTATGTTGTGTTTGTTTGCAATGTTGTTTGTCTTTTTATCATTTCATTTTTATCCATGGGGCTCATGGTGCTGTCAGTTTTTATTGGACTCATAATTTTTTATTGTCCACTTGGCATTTTCTCTTTTTATGGAAAACTACCTTAAACCAAAACTTGAACATGATAAGGGATGGACAGATGGACAGACTGGAAACATAATGCCCCATACTTAGGTAGACAGAGTATAATAAAATGCTTCGCTGGGGCGCAGCTTGATACGACCGCAGAGGTCGAACCCTGAACAGTTGGGGCAAGTATGGACACAAAATTCAAGCTTGATACAGCTATGACTTTGGATTGTCATTAAATATTTGACACAGCATAGGTTTCTGACACAGAATGAATGTGGTGTAAGAACTGGAAAAAATTTAATTTACCTATTATGGTGGAATATCCATAAACTAAATTGTTTGTTAATTTCAATATATCAAAGAATATGTAGAATTCAATGTTTGATGTAATGTAATAAAGTTGAAATTTGGACCGTTTTTGTTCAATGTGGACCAATTTGGTAACATGTATAAATAATCAAAAATCTAAATACATGGGAGCCCATTTAAATACATCATAAAGGTATTAAAATAGAAAGTGACATCATAGTCATGGCTAAAAATAAACAAAAATCCTTAATCAGCAACATTTAAAGTAATATCTAAAAATAAAATTCCTTTGTAACCATAAAAGCCCATTTAAATACATCATAAAGATATTAAAATAGAAAATGACATCATAGTCATGGCTAAACATAGCTAAAAACCCTTAATCAGCATCATTTAACAGTAATATCTAAAAATGGAAATTACATCATAAAGGTATTAAAATAGAAAATGACATCATAGTCATGGCTAAAAATAAACAAAATCCTTAATCAGCATCAGCAACATTTTATAGTAATATCTAAAAATAAAATTCCTTTGTAACCATAAAAGCCCATTTAAATACATCATAACAGATATTAAAATAGAAAATGACATCATAGTCATGGCTAAACATAGCAAAAACCTTAATCAGCATCATTTAACAGTAATATCTAAAAATAAAAATTTCTTTGCAACCATAAAAGTAAAATAGAAAATGACATCATAATCATAGCTAAAAATAAACAAACATTTTTTTATTGGCAAATTTTAAATGGAGTTTATTATACTAAAACAATAAATTTGCAACCATAAACATGATAAAACCCCATTTAAACACATCATAAAAGTATTAAATAATTCAACTACATCATAAGGCTATAAAAATAGAAAATGACTTCATAGTCAAGGCTAAAGGTAAACAAAAAACCTTCATCAGCAAAATTTTATATTGGCAAATTTCCAATGAAGTTTATTACACTAAAATTGTTGGCAAATTTCCAATGCATTTATTAACAATAAAGTTATTGGCAAATTTCCAATTTACATAATTTAAAAGCAGTGTAGATGAGATATTTAAATGAGTTTGAATTACCAACCTTACACTGCTTTTAAATAATGTTCTTTACTCAATTATTTGTCTATTAAAATGGAAACCCTTGTTTTTTAACCTTTTTTCCCCTTATTCCTTAAACATTAGAGCCATAACCCCCCCCCCCCCCCCCCCCCCCCCCAAAGCCAATTATTACTTTCCAATGTAACTTAAATTTCCAATATACATAATTTTAAATTTCAATTCCTCATGATATATAACCGTATCATTATTATTTTCTTTCATATATAAATCTGAAACAACCATCTTTAAATGGAAAATTTTAAAGAAAAAAAAAGGAAAAAAAAAAATCCTACCTCCCACACATTTTTTCAACCCCCTTTTGATTCATCATCCCCCACCTCAATCACAACCTTCAATTTGTGGTATGGTACATTGCAATATAATTTCACAGAGATCCATACACTTGAACACAAGTTTTTGTTGCAAACTAAAAAAATCCTTATTTTTGACCAATATTTGGCCCCTTATTCATAAATGTTTGAGCAATTAACCCCAAAACTCAATTCCTACTTTCTCTTCGTGATAAAAAATAACTAACTTAAAATGTAAATTTTAAACAAAAAAAAAAGGAAAAAAAAAAATTACCCCTTTTTTGACCCCCGCCCCCCTTATGATTCATCACCCCCACCCCCCCTTTCCCCCCAAACCAAGCTCAATAACAGCCTTGCCTTTGTGGTATGGTACCTTGTAATACAATTTTAGAGAGATCCATACACTTGAACACAAGTTATTGTCTAGAAACTAAAAAATGCTTATTTTAAACCCCTTTTTAGGCCCCTTATTACTAAACGTTTTGGGCAATTACCACAACACTCAATTCCAGCTTTCCCTTTGTGAAATGGAACCTTGTAGTAAAATTTCAGAAAGATCCATACACTTACACACAAGTTATTGTCATGAAACTAGAAAAATGCTTGTTTTTTGCCCCCTTTTGGCCCCTTATTCCTAAAATTTTGAGGCAATTAACCCCAAAATCAATCCCAGCATTGACCCTTTGTGATATGGAATCTTGTGGTACAATGTCAAAGAGATCCATATGCTAACACACAAGTTATGTCTGGAAGTTACAAAAATGCTTATTTTCGGCCCCTTTTTGGCCCCTAATTCCTTAACTGTTGGTACCATAACCCCCAAAATCAATCCCCACCTTCCTATTGTGGTATTGAACCTTATGGTGAAATTTCATAGAGATCCATTCACTTAAACTAAAGTTAGAGTGCGAAAACCATTGTGTATTCGGACGACGACGACGGAGACGCCAACTTCATACCAATATACGACCTCAAAATTTTTTTGCGGTCGTATAAAAATTGACTGCCTTTGATGAATGAAATTCCATCACTCCAGAACATTTCAAAACTAATTAAAGTTAAAGACAACCTCTATTCATGCACCTTATCATTATGTAAACATTTTAAAAGATCTGTGAGAGAAAACATGGACTTATGTTTTTTAATTGTATTATTAAAACAACTGTTGTTAACTTACGTGGAAGTAGTTGACTGACACTCGGTGGTAAACCATCAATGGTAGATGTTGATGTGGGACTTTGTGATACTAAAGATAATCTCTTTGGTGTTGTCGGAGATGACGTCTGTCGTGACTGACCGTTCATTGATGAATGTGAGGACGATGAAGTGACTGTAGGTGTCAATGTCAATGGATTTAATACCTGTTGACAATAAAAGAAACTTATTGAGCAAGCTAACAAAAACATGCCCCCAATTCAATGTAAGGATGCAAGTCCCTCTTAGAAAATCAAAGGTTGTTAATTTCCATTTCTTCTGATTATCAAAAGATGTTTTATATGAATAAACTTTGAAATTAATTAAAAATAAAATGCTCCGCTGGGGCGCAGCTTGATACGACAGCAGAGGTCGAACCCTGAACAGTTCGAGCAAGTATGGACACAACATTCAAGCCTGATACAGCACTGAATTTGGATTGTAATTAAATATTTGACACAGCATAGGTTTCTGACACAGAATGAATGTGGTCTAAGAACTTAAAAATTTTTAATTTACCTATCCAAACCATATCATTATTATTTGCTTTTATATGTAAATCAGAAATAACCAATTTAAAATGGAAAATTTTAAAGAAAAAAAACGAAAAAAAAATCCCCCTCCCCCCCAAATTTTTGAACCCCCTTATGATTCCTCACCCCCAACTCAATCCCAGCCTTCCCTTTATGGTATGGTACCTTGCAGTACAATTTCAGAGAGATCCATACACTTGAACACAAGTTATTGTCTGGAAACTAGAAAAATGCTCTTTTTTTTGGCCCCTTGTTGGCCCCAAATTCCTAAACATTAAGGGCAATTACCCCCAAACTCAAACCCAGCTTTCCCTTTGTGATATGTAACCTTGCAATACAATTTCATAAAGATCCATACACTTACACACAAGTTATTGTCCTGAAACTAGAAAAATGCTTGTTTTTTTGCCCCTTTATGGCCCCTAATTCCTAAAATTTTGAGGCAATTACCCCCAAAATCAATCCCAGCCTTCCCTTTGTGGTATGGTACCTTGCAGTACAATTTCAGAGAGATACATACACTTGAACACAAGTTATTGTCTGGAAACTAGAAATATGCTTATTTTTGGCCCCTTATTCCTAAACGTTTTGGGCAATTACCCCCAAACTGAATTCCAGCTTTCCCTTTGTGATATGGAACCTTGTGGTACAATGTCAGAGAGATCCATACACTTACACACAAGTTATTGTCATAGAACTAGAAAAATGCTTGTTTTTTGCCCCTAATTCCTAAAATTTGGAGGCAATTACCCCCAAAATCAATCCCAGCATTCCCTTTGTGATATGGAACCTTGTGGTACAATGTCAGAGAGATCCATACACTAACACACAAGTTATATCTGGAAGTTACAAAAATGCTTATTTTTGGCCCCTAATTCCTTAATTGTTGGTACCATAACCCCCAAAATTAATCCCCACCTTCCATTTGTGGTATTGAACCTTATGGTAAAATTTCATAGAGATCCATTCACTTAAACTTAAGTTAGAGTGCGAAAACCAATGTGTCTTCGGACGACGATGACGACGACACCAACGTCATACCAATATACAAATTTTGGGGTCGTGTAAAAATCTAACTGCTTGTGAGTACTGATAGGGTAAAGATTGTTTTCATTGTGCAATTTGTGAATTTTTAAAAATAACACTGAATTGTATTTTGCTAGGCAAGTTAAAAATTGGAGTTGGATTCATCTTCCTTTGTTCATGAATATACATTTGTAGTTGAACATATTTTATAACAGATTCATACACCATGCATTACTAATGTAATATTTAATAAAAATAAATGGGGAATGTGTCCATGGGACACAGATGATGCCCATGCTTGCATATAACGTTATAAAGGGACATAACTCAAGAACTGTAAAAATGACACTACCCAAATTTGTACTTGATCTGAGTTTTGTAGTAGTAAGCATTGTTTTTAAGTTTCATAACATTTATTTGAGGCAAACTTCAGTTAGAGAACAGAAATGAAAAATTCAGCAATTTTTCCATTTGTAAAGGGGCACAACTCTAGAACAGTAAAAGTGACGCCACCAAAATTCAAATTTGATCCGTGTTTTGTGGTAATAAGCATTGTGTATAATTTTCATAACATTTGGTTGAGGCAAACTAAAGTTAGAGAATGTAAACCAATTTTGGGACGTACGGACGCAAGTATGTACGTACAGACAGACGGACAAGGGTAAAATTTAATGCCCCCTCCGCTACGGCGAGGGCATAAAAATGTTTTCTTGACAAGTATGGTAATTCAAATACACATCATATTGTAACTTAAATATTAAAGTATAAAATATCATCAATAAATTGCATGACATTGACTGGATAGGATCTAAATAATGATTACTTCACTGCACTATTTTGTTTGAACTATCAAAGGTAGTGATAAACCTTGGAGATATAGCTATCAAGTCAGTACCATAGGGTTATGATTGCATTTTCTCGTTTGAATTGTTATACATTTGTCATTTGGGGCCTTTAATAGCTGACTATACAGTATCGGCTTTGCTCATTGTTGAAGGCTGTACTGTGACCTATAGTTGTTAATTTCTGTATCATTTGATCTCTTGTGGAGAGTTGCCTAATTGGCAATCATACCACATCTTATTTTTATATTTACCCAATAAAATGACAACTCGGCAACAACAAAGTGATCTCATTGACCAATGGATAATAACAAGTCAAAAATATCATACCCTCCACAACTTACTTGCTTGGGGAATAATTATAAAACACATATAATTTGGGAACACATTTTGTGCACAATGCTTAATACTTTAAGTATGCGCTAAGAACAAGCATACCAATATCTTATGTTTTGCTTGTTTCAGTATTCTAAATGTACTTAGCATTGAATTATCATTTTGTGTATAAAATATGGCATGTCTATAACTGGTAATAAGCATTGTTTTCCAATCCTAATAAAACTGTCATATTGTAATGTTTACGTAATTTTTTTCAAAATAAATTATTGTTTACACTAACTGTAATTGAAATGAAATTGCTGTATCAGCTATTTAGCAACAACTAGTAATTGTCCTCTATAAAGAATTTAGACCTACCTGCTGCCCTAAAGCAAGTATCTGACTTTGAGCATTAGCTGACAGCAGTGAAGGAAGGTTACTAAGCTGACTGGCTAATCCAGCACTCAAATGATTATGTAATGAATTGGATGACTGACTGCTGCCTGCAACAAAAAATAGAAAAAAACAATAATCATCTATAGTAATGTGAAAGTGTCTTTATTTGTAGAAATAACACTGATTGTTTCTCTGGTCACATAATGTTTGCAGCAAAATTACAAAGCCAAACTTGAATATTTCATGCTCCACCTTAAACTACTGTTCAATAAAGGGTCCCTTTATTAATTTTTAAAATGTAAGACCAAAATATCTGTTCACATTCCATAGAATACAAGCCTGGCATGGGATCAAACCTACAAATCCTGCATAGGAGGTTCATATTTGACAAGGATATTTCTGTTAATTAAGTACATTAGAAAGTTACACATGTTATAAAATGTGAGATACTTATAATTTTTGTAATTTTTTGTCAAACATTTCCCAGGTCACATAATCATACAATTCACAACTTGGAAATGACCTGCGTTATTTTAGAAAACATATATATATATACACTTCAAAAATCCTCCACAAAACATACTACTACAAATACTGTCATTGATTTTGTAAGTTTGAAACTGCGGTTCTCTTCACAAAGGCAAAGACTAGCATATCAAATGTTATTCTGTCCAAAGTCACTTGCTATACTTATTGTTAGAGTATACCAATATCTGTTTGTTGTGTTAAGCCTTGTATATTATTAATCTAACACTGACTATTGGAATTGACATTGATATTTTTAAATGGATGTGTTAAGTCTGGCATACTCACTTTTGGAATTGACATTGAGATTTAACAGCTGTGTAAAGTCTGGCATACTCACTATTGAAATTGACATTGAGATTTAACAGCTGTGTAAAGTCTGGCATACTCACTTTTGGAATTGACATTGAGATTTAACAGCTGTGTAAAGTCTGGCATACTCACTATTGGAATTGACATTGAGATTTAACAGCTGTGTAAAGTCTGGCATACTCACTATTGGAATTGACATTGAGATTTAACAGCTGTGTAAAGTCTGGCATACTCACTTTTGGAATTGACATTGAGATTTAACAGCTGTGAAAAGTCTGGCATACTCACTATTGGAATTGACATTGAGGTTTAATGGCTGTTTTAGTCTGGCATACTCACTATTGGAATTGACATTGAGATTTAATGGCTGTTTTAGTCTGGCATACTCACTATTGGAATTGACATTGAGATTTAACAGCTGTGTAAAGTCTGGCATACTCACTATTGGAATTGACATTGAGATTTAACAGCTGTGTAAAGTCAAGCATACTCACTATTGGAATTGTCATTGAGATTTAACAGCTGTGTAAAGTCTGGCATACTCACTATTGGAATTGACATAGGGGTTTAATGGCTGTGTAAAGTCTGGCATACTCACTATTGGAATTGATGTTGAGGTTTAATGGCTATTTTAGTCTGGCATACTCACTATTGGAATTGACATTGAGGTTTAACAGCTGTGTAAAGTCTGGCATACTCACTATTGGAATTGACATTGGGGTTTAATGGCTGTTTAAAGTCTGGCATACTCACTATTGGAATTGACATTGGGGTTTAATGGCTGTGTAAAGTCTGGCATACTCACTATTGGAATTGACATTGGGGTTTAATGACTGTTTTAGTCTGGCATACTCACTATTGGAATTGATGTTGAGGTTTAATGGTTGTGTTAAGCCTGGTATGTTGGCTAAATTTGTTGCTATTATCTGACCATTGGATGTTGTCAATAACTGTATCTGCTGGTTACCACCTGTTGCCAAGGAAACAGGAATACTAATAAATTGTTGTTGGCCATTGCCTGTTAAAACAATGTTAGCATGCCTTAAGTAACTAATTACACAAGAGGTTTATTTTTATAAGCATTGTACTTTTATTTAAAACTAAAATATGTTGTTATATCAAAGTAGAAAATAAAATTCTATCTGGTAAAGGTTAAATTGTTGAGATATCAATATAAGAGATTCTTGAGTGTATATTTAAAGTCCAGGACACCTTCCATTTACAAGAAAATTCACTATTCCTGAATGGAGCACTGTATAATGTGGACAAAAGACTAGGATTATTCCTGAATGGAGCACTGTATAATGTGGACAAAAGACTAGGACTGTTCCTGAATGGAGCACTGTATAATGTGGACAAAAGACTAGGAATCAGAAAAGAAAAACACTTGTAGTTTTGGATGGATGTCAGAATTCACCTCTACTATCCAACATAGTTTTGATGCTCTTAAGACCTAATGATTTCACAGAAATCCTTTTTTCCTTTTACAATTGCAAGATTGTGAGGGAAAATAAGCTGTAAGAATTTGATGTTATGGTGTCCATTAATTAGCATATTTCATTTGAAAAGCACACTCTTGCTTTTTAAACACTTTGTTTTATAGGGATTTCCAATGCTTTAAAAGAAATGGGAACCAGATCTATTCAAAAAGCTAGACAAATTTAACACTAACAAGATGTACTGTGAGCTATTGCTCCCAAGTTCAATGTTGTTTACTTAATGTGACCAAAATTTCATATACATGTGTAAGTTTAAGCTATCACCAAATAGGCAATAGAACATCATGGAACTGAAATTATGTCACATTGTATGGTTTAACCAGACAAAGCTATGACATGATACCTTGGAGATAAATGTGACAAACATTTCATATCTGTACATAACATTTTAAACAAGAATGCACACATTGTCGTGCTAGGCATACCCCACTAGTTATTCAAAGTCTCTGCAAACAGGAAGCAGATGTCTGACAACTCTGAAACATGCTCACATAATACAACTCATTACTGTTACGCTTCTGACCAAATAATATGATATCATTCTGTTCAGTAGTACTAGATAAATATGTGACAATTTTATTTCTTTAGCTCATTCAACATGTTGAATAATTCAAAGAATCAGTAAATAGGAATTAACTGTATGATAGATTAAAAAAAAAAGCTCAAAGGTTACAACTTATCTGTATCAAGCTGCAGTCTAAATATAATTCATTTGGCTTTGTATTACCTGAGAAAAGTGCCTCAGAAATATTTGTTGGACGAACAGTAGAACAGACAGAGAGGAACAGATGGAAGGACAAGGTTAATTCACTTTAGCTCCTACTCCTAGAGCATGTAGAGTAAAAGTATTATGTAAATGGACACATGATGGAAGGAACTGAAAAAGTGTCAAACACTAATGTATTCTCAGATAAAGCTTGGTGCCATATATCATGTATATGAGCTATGACTTGTATTTTGCTGAGAAAAACGCAACAAAATGTGTCACAGACTGACAGATTCACAGACAGAGGTTAACCAGTATACCCCCCTCCTTTGGGGAAGTGCTATAAATATCTGTTTTAAAAAACTGCATAACTATAAACTTCAAGTTGTGATGATATATTTTTTTCCCTTTAAAGAGTAAAGAATCTATTTACAATAATTTGTCTTTCATCTTAGATTCAATAACAAAGTTATTGTTATAGGTTTAAGTGATTTAGCATGTTTAGAGCTTGCCATGTGACATCATGTAGTCCTAATCGTTGAATACCAAATTTTGACATCTTTGGCTGTCTTGTGTTACCCCCACATCTACTATTATTCAATAAGCAGGAAAATACTAAAATAAATTATTCAAATTTATGACTAGAAAAGTTTGAAAATATCTAGAAATATTTGCTAGCATTCTCAAAACTGGTTCTTCAAAAAAGCTATAGTATTCATACCACAATTTGTTTTTTTTTTTTATTTTTTTCTCTCAAATTTTTCTTCATAACTTAAAGTGAACAATTTGTATATACTTTTCAAAACACTTTTTTACAAAACCAGTTTTGAACACATATATCACTATGACAACACAAAAAAAGCGGACACAACAATCTGCTTACCAGTAGAAACTGGTATCAGCAGCTGCTGAAGACCTTGTCCTTGAACAGACTGACCTGTAAGGAAAAACTGTGGTGCTGCCACCTGTGGCTGACCAAACAAGTGAGAAGGACTAGACATTGATGTAATTGCACCTACAATTAAAAATATTCAAATACATTACAAGTACTTCAACAAAGTCAACAGATAAAACAAAAATATAGGTATCGTAAAAAGGCTTTATATTGGTGCAGTTTAAAAGTCTAAGTCTGGGAAAATATTTATCAGTTGAACTGCCAGTGTATGCACTGTTATACTACTGTCTTTGGTCAGGGGAAGGGTTGAACACTTAAAAACATGTTTTAACACACCCCTCCCCCATTCTTTATGTGCCCATTCCAAGTCAGTTACCAATAATTCAATGGTTGTCATTTGTTGTTGTCTGTCATATTTGTTTTTCGATTATTGTTTTTTGCATAAATCAAACTGTTGGTTTTATCTTTTGGTCTATTTCACATACTGTAAAGCCATGGCCTTTAAAGCTGACTATATCACATGGGCTTTGCTCATTGTTGAAGTATGGTGACATATAGTTGCTTACATCTTTGCCCTTAAGTTTCTAGTTGATAGTTGTCTCATTGGCAATCAAACCACATCTCCTAATTCTAACAGTTTGTCTGTATTCAAACTTAAGAAATTTCAATTTAGCCAATAGGTCTGCAAATTATGTCATTTCATTGTTTAAGGTCTTCTGAAGAGTGTGTACATATAATAATCCTACAATATTTTTTTATATTTTATTTCAATATTAAATCATGTTCTTTTCATCTATATTCATTTTGTTTAAACATTGCATGATGAAATAAATGAACAAACTTTATTTTTATGTAGTGGTGTTCTGATTATAGAAAGAGTGCACACACTGAAATGTTTACTTAAGATTGAATATTGAAAGTCTGTAATATAAAGGTTTTACTACAAGTATCACATAAACTTAACATTATCAATGGATTATCTCCATGAAAAAGAGATGTGCCAAAGCTAATACAACAGCATACCAAATATCATTGACCTACCACTCATGGTTCCCCATAAACTGACCTAATTATATAATCACAAACTAAAACATTGTTGACACCGCCGTCCTGACAACAGAAACAGCATACCTATGTCTCGCTTTTTGACTCCGTCAAGGCGAGACAAAAATTGATAAAAGTAAATAAAATTCTATTAAATGTTATTTTTTTATGAAAGACTTTTGACACCTGTTTGAAAATGTATGGAATGCCTCTAAAAACTCGTGATATATTCATTTAGTACACATGTACACCAGGGCTTCCAAAATTATTTTTAGCCAGCCGGACATTTTATTTATTATCCCGATTTTAATCCCTTAAGACTAAATAAACAAAAGGCAATTATGGTAATCAGTTGCCGAGTTGGCCATCCCAATGATTGACATTAAAAAAAACGATATTAAATTTTCTTTGATTCAAATTCGAAGTTCTGACGTAAACTGTTAAATTAGTAGTGCATCATTCGAAGTGTGCAACATCAGCGTACTTATATCTGCCTTAGACTCTTTATTTGTGCAAAATAACGTTGTCAAAAACTTTACTTTCGTTTTTATACCAGATGTTATCTTGACAATGGTAAAACATGGACCAGAGACGGATACGTAAATTCCGTGTACGTTTGCAAAGCGTGAATGAGTGGAAGTAGCTCTTTCTACGTTATTTCTTCTAGAAAATATTCGAAATAAACGTGAGATAAAGGTATCAATGACAATTTAAGCATTTTTCGAAGAAATTAGGATGCATAATTAAATTTCACACCTGCGCACATGCGCACACGTGTACTAGTTCAAACAGAGACATGTCTCTAGGTTCAAACAACGTGGTAATGACGATTTTTCATTTTCAACTTTTTAATTTTTTCATCAAATCATATTTGTAAACGTATTTCTGATAATTTAAATCTTTTTGACTATATTAATTAGATGCAAACCGCTGAAATGTAAGAAAATAACTTTGAACAGACCGATCAATGTCCGGTTCAAAATAGTTTACCTGTCACCTGAACAGGTAAATTTCAGCTGTTTGACAACTAATTAGCCTTGATTAAAATGAGAAGGTATTAAAGTAGGGGTTGTTTTGATAGTACTTAATGATCATGTCACTTTTATGACCGGAAATGTGTGGCTGTTAAAGGCAAAACGGTGGGTCAAAAAGATCGCGAATTATGTTAAAATGACCGTCTCTTAAAGCCTTGAAAACTAAAAAGTAGATGACCGTTTCATGCTTTGCCCAGCCGGACTTTTACCGGACATTATACAAATGTCCGGCATATATGACCGTTTTGGAAGCCTTGATGTACACACATTTTTGATGTACAGTACACTGTATTTATGGATCTGTTTGTTTGGGTTATTCTACTAGTATACTATAATATGACATCCACAAGAATTATGTAAGGAAAAGTGAAACTAAATTCCTATATTATTTGCATCTAACTTAAAAACCCATTATAATTGAAATTCAAATTGGATTATGCTATCCAATTACTCTGATCAACCAAATGTAATGGTCACACCAATTCCCAACACTATTTCTATGGATGATTTTCTGAAATCAATCATTTGTTTTTATTATCAAACTTTGATATATATACATAAATGTATGAAAAAAATAATATCTACAATAAAAACATATTACATACAGAGCAAAATGGTGACACTCTTTAAAATCATCATAATTGATGTTAGTACTTCATGTACTTGAACATTGCATTTTCAAATTACCATTATCTGATTTGCCATCACCATGGGATGGTGAGTCTGTTGCTGATGGAAGATGGGACATAAATAAGTGATCTGTTAACCCTCCAAGGGCACTGGTTGCCATGGATACTGTAGGCATTGAAATGGTTGGCATGGTGAAAACTGATGAAACAGTTGCCAATGGCGACTGTGTACTGGTTGCTGAGAGCATAACATCCTGAAAATAAATAAGAATATGTGTAGTTCTGTGATACAGACTGGACATTTTAAGGGTAGGTAACTTTAATCATTACAAGACCTTTTTTGTACAGCTTGTTTCCATTATACATTTAACAAAATGTAACATCTAAATACACCAATCACTTCATACTTTTATAGTGATTTCTCTACATAATTTTAGAATGATCTTTCTGTCCTTAGCACAAAGTGAGTTTTATTCAGTTACTTTTATAAACATAAGATAGTAAAGATACTTATAAATAACTATCTTAATTTTTTCTCAAATGTTTAAAAATTATATCTTTTACACCTTGACTTTCATTTTCTTTTTTGGTACTAGTACAATTAATTGATAACGTAAAAAAAAAATTCCATGACATTTTTGGATGGACCAACAGACTAGATGCTCATATTTTCAACATTTATATGCCTCGAACTTCTAAGAGTTTAAAATCATGCTAAAATTCTGTACTACCCCTCCCTTCACGTTGGGTCTTCCTCAGAATGCAATTTGGCCTCTATCCATGTGTATTTATACTGGTAAAATTCCCAAGTTGTGTCTCTATGAGATGAAACATAGAGATCATATCTGGGAACCAGAAGGTAAACAAAACAAAATATCTATGAATATTATATATCTCCCCAAAAGAGGTGTGGTTTGTGAAACAACTGTTTTTACAAAGTGCAACCTAAAGGGGAAATAACTCACATTTTTAGCTGATGATTAGAAGTGATGGCAGCACATTTTTTTAGCATTTCATTATATCCCTCTAAACAGGACCTTTACGTGTAATCAAATCCAAAACACTTTAGAAATTCAATATTGTCAAAATTTTCTTGAGCAGAAATCTCTTAACTATCTATAAAATGTAAATCTACAAAGAAAGTCTTGGGTAACAGAGACATAATGTCATGGAATAATCAATATTTCTCTTGTCAAACAACAGTTTCTTATCTTATTAGAGAGCTTTAATTTACTGCCTTAGAAGAATTATAGATTTGGTAGGATCAATACTTCAGCTTTTTTACAATGGACACAAAACTCAATTTCCTTTTCACATTAACTTGATGAAAACAGTAATGAATATAAATCTTGGGCTATTGGATGAAAGCAAATTCCTATTTGTCTTCAAAAGCAGTTAGGGCAATCTGGTAAAAGAAATAACAGAATTTCATTCATTTTATGTAAAATTCCATCTGCCTGAATCTAGTTAATTGGTACTATTTTATTGGTCTATGAAGCAATAAAGAATGGCTTGCACATAACAAAACATAAATTTACTATGTGAAATAAGATTTTTTTATTTGAACCTAAATCACTTTATTCAAGAATTAATGTGCATTTAGACCAGTAAAACAGGCTTTGGAAGTCTGTCTATTGATTTCTTTTGTGATTCTTACTTAAAAGAAATTAAAAACCTTAAACTGCATCTATAGGTTTGATTTGGTATGAAATTGATATAATTAGAGCACAATGCTGGCCAGTAATTTAATTTGTGTCATGAGTCTGTTGATAAAGTGTTTTGTCGACAAAAAAAGCATCAACTTTGCAGAACGAAAAAAGAAGATCTGTGAGCTATTAATGGAAGTTGATGATGAATGTATACATCCATCCATCATCAACTTCCATTAATACTCACAGATCTTTTTTCGTTCGTCCAGTAAAGTTGATGCTTTTTTTTTTTAGTCAACAGACTCATTACACAAATTAAATTTACAATCTACAGCTTAAAATTTATAAATGTACATTTATGGACTTGGAGCAATGTCAAAATATTACAAATACATCAATAACTTCTCCAAAATAAACATTGCAAACGATAATAAGTCATAGTAACTGTAATGCAATAGATAAAGGATTTACTGGACCAAATCTTAACCAAAGATAGATCCAAAGTCCATTATGAACTGAGGAAAACTTTAATGTTTTTTCCATACACTCTTCTTGGTTATGCATCCTTTTACGTTCTGGGACTTTAATTTTACTGACGTCAGTTTTTTTACCTGGCAAAACAATAATTTTATGGCTTGTGTATAAATTTGCGGGGATTATATTTTTTTTTACAGGAAAACATTTATTTCCAGCAAAGGGAAATAATCAGAAGTTTGTGTATAAAACCTTTACATTATATCTTTTCATTGAACAAATTAAATTTGCTGCAACTGCAAAATGGATTAGCCAAAAGTACATAATACAAGCAGACTGATTTCTATAGAACATTCAATACTGTGTATAAATGAAAAAGTTATAAGTGTACCAGTAATGATATTTTTTTTCAGGTTTCTTACTTCTTTCTGGTAGAGGATTATAAATCTACCAGTTGATTTTTTATCGAATGAAGCTGTGTTCAAACCTACTTTCAGGTGGTTAGAAATACTTAAGACTTTTTTCCTTGATTAAACTTCGTACAGTTGAAACAAATACCAATAAAATTTGAATATTTGTTATTCCAAATATATAGTGTGTTTATATATAAAGAATATTAGTAAACTCTTTATGTTTCACCATTTAAAAAGGTTGGGGTTTTTTTTCATATAAAAAGGAAATTAGTGTAAAATTCCATACACCCCTGACTACAGCAAGATTAAGAATTTATTATTTCTAAGAAGTTAACTCATTTTTATACTGGGGTGTAAAAATTGAAAAATTCTTAAGAAAGAACTTCCATGACGTATTTTTACAACACTGTTGTTGTTGCACTAGTAATTTTGAATCTTTTTAATTTTGGCAGTTTAAAAAAAAAAATATTTTGGCAATAAAAAATTTGAAGTTTGCCCCAATTTCTTTTCTTTCTTTTTTTTGGTTTGCAAGATTCTTGCTTCGTTAGAAATAAAGGTCTTTTGATTTTATCTATCATAGTATATTTCTCCTCCATTTATATTTACTATATGGTACATAAAAACCTTTCTATGAATTTAAAATAAATAAGTTCTCCCAGCCAATTTGAAATGATCTGTCCTAACTAATTTTTAACCATCATCCTTGATGATGACTAACAAGTCAACGAACAAACCAATGATATAAATGTTATTTCATACCTAGTTTCTCTATAGAATTTTTTGCATGAAAGCTATTTTCAATTCAATAAAATAAATTTTTGATGTTCATTTCAAACAGTTAATGTAACATTGAATGTACACATTTTAGAAATACCCATGACAACACTTAGTCAAGTCAATTCAATAATATTCTGCAAAAGACAATTCATCAATAAATTTTCAATCAAACTGCACAATCAACCCAATCTAGTTAAATGAATATTGATTTTTGTGATGTGTCATTCTTTGATATTTGGAAACATAACTGTAATATATATTAAACATCAAATACTATATTTACACATTTTGATAATTAGATCTATTGTAGGATAAAAGTTTATTTCCTTTAAATAATTAAGTAGTTTTACCTTGAAAATTATACATTTGATTTCTCATCCTTTTACCCTCCATCCCATAAGCGAGTAGAATTGTAAATGTCTAATTGAAATCTGCCAGCCCTTAACTTTCATAATATACCCATGCAATATTAATAATATATCCACCCTTTATTAAGATAATATACCCAGATTTCATCAACATTTCCATTAAATATGTCAAAACTGAAAATATATATACATGAAACTTAAACAACTACAAAAAATATCATCTGCCATATTGAATTCAGTCTCTAATATTGTATTGATTGTTTCCAGGAATTTTTTTTAGAAATTTCTAACTCTTGTCCATTTCTTTAAAATTTTCATACCATTAACATAGATTTGCTAATGAGTGCTCATTTATTATTATCATTTCTACCACCTGTTTAAACATATGCAAGACTTCCACCTGTTGACTTGCATTCAATATGGAAGCCTGCCTACACAAGCACAGGAATGTATCACTTACTTGCTTAATAATGGCGGACTGTGCAAGTTTGGCGACATCAGGCTTGGTTTCTCCATTGAGGGCTTCAGATGTCACCTCATCACTGGAGTCCCCATCCATGTCCATGGGGTCTATTCCGACGGGCGCCACTTTGATGGTTTATAATTGGTAATCCAAACCTGTCGCAATCCGTCCTCTGAAAAAACAACAAAATTCCTGAACTTCGTAGAAAATGAGAGACATGGATGCAGAAATGATTGACACAGGACCCAGAAGGGGGAAAAGTCAAGTTTTTAATTATAAAAGTTTCTATTTGAGCATTGATTAGAGATTTAAGTAAATTCTTTAATTATTAATAAATCATGCTAAGCACCTGCCGAGAAGACTAATTATTAATTCTATACATTGACAATGTGAATATTTGATTGTAGTAAGACTCCTCATTATAATACCTGGATATAATCATCATATCCAAATAAGCTCGGAATAAGAATCCCGAACCAATCCTCAAGACATTGCAATCAAATATTACTAGGATATCAACCAATCAGAATTAAGTGAGGCTATACCTCGTTTCTAATTATTGACATAAAATGTATTGCTAATGCTGATGTTGTTTTTTTTATTTCATGGAATAATCAATAAGAACTCTGTCACTAATTAGATTCAGAACTTCAAAAGCATGACTGATTTACAATGAAGATTTCAGGAAAATCAATTTCATGATCAATATCATTATTTTATTCCAAGTTTAGATGCATTAATTTTTTCAATTCTACATTTGTTCAAGTAATGTGTTAGTCATGAACATGAGAAAGAGGTCAAATAAAAGAATCAAGAGAATCGAAATTTCTGCTTTCTTTAACAATTTTAGAAATGTTGAAGTGGGAATTAAATTTATATGTACTATGCATAAAAGTTTTAAAAATTGTGTATATCCTGACTGCATAAAACCATTTGTTTAAATACACCTGGTTACTTAATTTCCTTTTTTCAAACCCCAAAAAATATTTTTCTTTCATTTTTATTATAAATAATATAATCATGAAGTAGCATATCTAAGGCCAAATAAAGTACAAGTTTTTCCCTCTGTCCTGATGGTTACAAAAAACAATTTAGAATATATACCTGGATACAATCACACGGAAGGACAATCTATTGAGTGCCAGTAGAATTGCAACCCCTACATGTATTTCCCGTCAAGAAAAATTCAAACAGACAGCTCTTATTTACATGTGTATCTTTCTGAGATTTGAAGACTTCTTATGAAATACCTACAAAAAATTTCCAGCAATTTACAGAGCTTTTCAATTTTTGGATTTTACCAATAACAAATTCTACATTTTTAACATAAAAATTAAAATTTACACTTACTTGTATGATGGCAAATTTCCATCATAATGAATCCCTATAGCAAAGGCTATCAAAAAGCAATCTATCCTTTGTACTTCGTCCAGTTATCACATTTGGATGAAAATATGGAGTTTTTACTTTGACCCCTATAGGACTATAATCACAAGTTTCTCAACTTAAAAAAATTGGGCATAGGACATTTGAGAGAAAATGAAAAATGCACATAGGGTCATTTGAGCACGGACATCATAGGACATTTAAGCGCTGGAATATTTTAACCGTATCTGGATTTTCAAATAGGACATTTGAGCGCAATATTTTATTTGATTTTACTCCTGAGTAATTCAGAAAGTTGGATTAAGTCAACAATACAAAGAGGTAGATTCAGATATCAGTAAATAGTTGAAAGGACTGTTTGTGATAGCTTTCTTAGATCCAGAGGAAGTAGCAGACTGTTTTGTCGAGGATTTCATGACCGTTTTACCTATCGACAAGCCTTGTAAAGACTTTTCCGATAACTTGACTGAAACTTACATCACAAACGAATCGTTGTTTCCCCCTTATCTCTGATCTGCAGTTCCATCTATGCCAAAACATACAAACAATGGACTGGCCTAGACTATAATGAGCAATTTCATCACAGTCACCCATTAATTTATACTTTCCTTGACACCTTTGTCAAATTACAATCTGTGACTAACATCAAAATTCAGTGAATATTGATGCACCTCAGAGCGGAACAGACAAGGAGAAGGTACAGAATATCCTGGACTTGCATTCGTGGCACTGCCAGCAGGAAATAACGAGGGTTTTTTATGTTAGCAGCCTAGGATATAAATTTCAAGCCTGAAACTAACTTGTAAATAATGCCATTGGCGAGTTTTAAGTTTTATGACAGTGCTTTGTTTTTTTAACAATTAAGAGATGTTTTGAACTGTGTGCGTTATAAACTCCACATTTTATTAACATCCTGCTCAAATTCCTAATTCTTTCTCCCTGTGGTGAGCAGGGGTAACAGATAATATCTGGCAAACGGAAGAAATACTCCTTCATCATTGTTGATTTTTTTTCGTTCAAATGTCCTAAAATTCCGGCACTCAAATGTCCTATACATTGGCACTCAAACATCTTTTTTTATCGCTAAAATGTCCTGCCATTTAGCTCAAATGTCCATTGCTGAAAAATTCCATGTGAAACCATTGTTGAAGTAACATATAACCATATATTTGAGAATGTATGAAAGAACATTTTTGTATTGTAAATCAAAAGGAGACAAAACAGAGGGGCTTGGAATTTAGGATTTGTGTTTCTTTTGGCACTCAGAGTAAAAGAAGGAACACATATATTCTATCCTTTTGAATAGTTGAATCATAAACTTTCCCACTAAACCTACTAGTTACTGATATCTGATGCTTAATATCTCTTTTTATTGAGAACTATATTAGCCGTTGTTTTAACTTAACCATTACTGTCTGAAATAACTAAGTAACCTTATCAACTTACAGAACATGAAAATAAGACTTAAATTCTCAACATCCTTGATTTTAACATCATATACATGATATAAGAAAAATACATCTTCAGAATGTCTTAGAAAAAGGTATACAAGTGAGCACACATGCTTTTAAACATCACAGAAAACTTCTAGACGTCTTCCTAAAACTTGAATGATACAAGATTAAACAATTAAACAGGGTCTAAAAACCATTACTATTGCCCAAGTTTAAAAGAGTTTAAATGAATTTAAAACAGAATTTCCAACCATAGCAAAGCTTCTAAAATGTCAAGCTATAAATTGCCTGGAGTTTAGAAATGTTTATAATTAATTTAGCAGAGACAATCAAATTGTTATAATGACAACAATGGAAGTTATATAAGTGTATTTTACAGTGAGGCTACAGGATACCCCTCGCTTAGAAAAAAAGCCTCTCACAGACCAAATACATTTTAAATGCTTTATCTGCTAAGGTAGCCTATTTTATTATGTTCATATTTCCAGAAAATATAATTGGTGCAGCAATTATCTGAAGGTTACATGGTTTTGTTCTGATGAATATCCTGGGTTTAAAATACTTCAAATGAAAAAAACAACAACAAATGTTTCCTCCTTCTAATTGGCACTACAATAATGATTACACAACAGTCAAAATGATTGATTGATTGTTGGTGTTTAAAGGCACTTTCAGGCTGATTGAGGAGGAAGGCTGAGTTCCCAGAGTACCCTAAACTTTAGTATTCAAACTGGCAACCCTAGTCAGTTAAGATCAGAATCAAATGCACCTTACCACGAGCAGCATTCAACCTCACAACCCTCAATACTGATATGGAAGTGATCACTGAAGGTGACCTTTTTAGACCACTAGTCCACAGCATATCCATTCCCCAACACACACAATAACCAAAAACTCATTGTCTAAATTTCAGACCATATGTTGCTTTCAAACACTTTAAAATCAAGTCTCACCATGCTCATCGGGAATAATAGCAGATTGACAAACTTTCTGGTTTCAAGTATAGCCTTTTTCATGATCTTTAAACAAGAAAAATAAAACGTGTCTGTCTACTGGTCTACTCTTAATACCAACAATGACCTGGACTGTGGTAAGAAACAGACAATTTCTTTTAGTGGCCTTCTGCATTAACAGAGGCAGCATAAAATCTCTTTGTGATAATTAATTTATCCTGATATCTTAAAAATATCATACAAATGCAAAAGTATTATTCCATATCAATTCAGCTTTTAAATTTTATCCCAATTTCTTAAATATACAAAAATCAGAAAAACTTTTTAAAAAAAAGCCAAAACAAATTTTGCCTTTATACACCACTAAATATCTAACTAATGTCTGGGAGACAAATAACAACCTTTCTTTTCAGAACATCATATTGATTTCTGCATAATTTGTTTACTATCTAAATGTTCCCCAGGGCACCCTCCATTATTGATTATAACAATCCAATTTCCCCATTATGCAGAATTTTTATACTCTTAGAAGCAATGAGTTGTATCAAGAATTCTAATGTAGAGATTGACAAAATTGATTTTCTCCCAATATAACACTGTGCCCACCAATGGTTAATCAAAATATCTCATTACATCTAATATATGTTGATTCAGTGCCAAATAGATATTTTCATTAATGTATTAACATATTCTATGAGACTTTAACATTATAAAATGATTCAATATAAATTGTCATATGCTTTATTAATTGATTGTTATATTTATAAGTTTACTACACCCTTTTACTATACATGATGTATACAGGGTACAACTCCTACAGCTGTATATTGACAAAGAACTGTTAATTCAGTAGGAATAATAATAATCCATCATTGATTTATATTAAACATAACAAAATTATTAAGTGTAGGAAAAATTTGAGATCATCATCTGGTCTTGCATACATGCATTTGTTTAAGTTATCAAACCAAATTTATTCATAAATGAAACAAAATATAACTATGTCATGACACATGTATTTTTCTGGTTATTTTGCTTTCCTTGGGCACAATTTTTTCATATGCAAGATATTGAGCAAAGATTCCATGGAAGAAAATTATAATTTGAACTCCAAGAATTACAAGGAAGTTTAAAATTATCATATCCTGCTGAGATTTTAAAAAAAATTCTTGATGCAGGACAAAAATAGTTAGAAACTTAACATTAACAATACAAAAAATATAACTTTGCAATTTTAAAGGGAAACTTTTATATCTGATGTCACAGTGATATGTATTAGCCATTATAATTAGTAAACCTTAAAATTTGAAGAAGAAAAAAACCATTAAAATATTGAAGCACACTCCACAATTTTTGAAGTTTACTTGAAAATAAGTTTCAAACTCAAAGTATGGAAAAATAGCTAAGAAATGAAAAACTTTTACTACAGGGATATATATGCAAATATTCTGTAAAATGTATGGAATTAACATGTACAATGTAGTTTTCCATCAAACTTAAGAGCTTTTACAGAGATTTCATCTTGAAGCCAATATTTTAAAGAATTCTAAACATCACCCTGGTTCAAGAACAATTCTATAATTTCAGTCTTGACCTTTCAAACTGAAAATAGAAAGGTTTTTTCCCTTCTCTATATCTTCCATCTATACAAGATTCAATTTACCCACAAGGTAAACTCAAATACCAGTAGAATTCTTTCCCACCCCAATATTTTTCATCTAGACCGGTTTCATTCCAAAAAATCAAGCAAGGGAAACTATATTTTTTATCAATAAAAACAATGAGTCCTGGACTCATGAAAATCTGTCAGGACTCATAATTTTCAAAACTGGTGAGTCTAAAGATGCATCAAGAGTGTAAAATTTTGAATCAACTGAGCACATATATATCATCATTTTATAAATTTTTTTTTTTAAATAATATAAATTTAGTGTCATTTCCTTGTTCTATTTTGTCATGGATACTGAAATAATAAATTATATAACAATAATATTTCATCTTCACAATGTTGGACTCGCCATGGCCAAAAATGATGGATCCCTGGACTCACCTTCAAAAATCCTTAGTGAGGACTGGGTGTCATTTGGACTCTTGGTGGATAGTTGTCTCATTGGCAATGATACCGCTTTTCCTTATTTTCATTAGAAAAGTACCCCTTTTTACATTTTACTTTTTGTAATTCAATGCTTCATGATTGGGCTATAAAAATCAATGAAATTTTTTTTCCCTTTTACTGTGGAAAAATAACCCAAAATAATAATAATAGTTTGAATTTTGTACAAAGAAAAAATCAAAAACTAAGTTTATTTATTACCGGTATATAAAAATAAGAAGATGTGATATGATTGACGATGGGAATGATGAGACAACTCTCCACAAGACACCAAATGACACTTCAAATTTAATAAAAGAACAGAGTTTCAATGTCCCCTGCATTGCACATATTTTATCTA